AAAACTTGCAATTTCATTTTGTTGAAAACTTTTTTTTTTTTCTCAGGGTGTTGATTCTGTGTTAAAGTAAAGTAGATGAGTTTAGTGCCCTCTTCATGACTAGACAGCCTCAGCAGCGCAGCTTATTGCCTCAGTTAAAGTTACAGAGCTCTACGTGACTACAATACATGTAGGAGTAGAGACTTACAATATCTGGAAATAATAGCTCTGCTGGTGGAATAGAGCAAATAAGAAAGAGGCAAAGGACATACCTGGTACTATACAGCATTTTTTTGTTTAAGAATTATAAATGCCCTAACAGTTTAAAGAAAATCTGTGAATTTCTGTTTTACATGAATAAATATGAATCATTTCTCAAACTTGTCAAATAGTGTAAAATTCCCCTTTTTTGACTTGTAGAGAGTTGTGTTTCTATTTTTGCCATTTTAAAAGCTTGTTTTGTTAAGAGCTCATTTAGAGCTTTAGAGAACTACATATACAGAGCTGCCAACTATTCCGTTTTTGCCAGAATTGCTCTGTTTTTTCCTCCAAATTACTATATTACGTTTTTTCTTCATAAAATACGATTTTTAATAAATTTTTTAATAATTTTTTTTTTTTTTTCACATACCGCACGTCAAACAACTGCCCTAAAGTGGTGATTTGATCACAAATTCAATAGAAAACTAATTTTGAAACATTCTTGAAGAGAAAAATATTCTTAAAAAAATGAAATGCCGATAATACCAAAATAACCACCAAAAAAATTACCTGCTTGTATGGAAAAAACAGCATGATGAATGAAAATTTCTGCATTGGAAGTGTGTTGCGCATGGTTGTAAGTTTCGTTTTTATGAATTCCTTTTTTTGGCTTGAAATTCCTTTTTTTTGCCATTATGATTCCTTTTTTTGGTCGCACAACGTTGGCAGCTCTGCATATACATGTACATGTATATGTAGCTTGCTCTTCTTGCCCATGTCTTTTCCACTGCAAATTTCTATTCCTTTGTATTCTTTTGTTGTAATCTATGAACCTGAGGTACGGTCATAAGATGCCACAGTGAGTCCGTCTAGACTGCTAGCATTACGTATCAGGTGTGGATGGCATCCCTCCGCATTGTATTTATGCTGCCTAGTGGTCAGATGGTTGCTCCTCAGGAATATTCTGCATCTCCATTCTACCCTGTGCGCGTCACAGAGCCGTGAAAAGAGTTTCCTGTACAAATCAATACAAGAAAGGCCTGTTTTTTAGGGGGAAGTCGATCGACGGGACGTTGGTCGGCAGACGTCACGGTGTACGCAAGAGGGCGGTGAAATAGACACTGCCAACTTTGTGTCACTGACGGTAGAGCTAAGGATGCATGCATTTCTATATCTCTTGTGTCAGCTTTTGCTTACAGACAGTATTGTATTATTTTGCAATGTATTATGAAGGAAACTAATTACACAGAGTGGGTTGAGTGTGGCAAATGTAGATCAATGTCTTGCCAAAAGACATTAATGCCGTGGCGGGACTCGAACCGCGGACCTTATGATCGGCAGTCCGGTGACGTACATGTAACCACTTGACCAGAACACCTCTACATTGCACGATAAACATTTTTTTCTTTCACAATGAAGACTCAGGACCTTAGACTACAAATAAGCTATATCAATCAATCCATGGACGTGATATCCACACATTATTGCCAATCATTCAAGGAAAGATGACACATGGAATTACCCAGGGTCTAAACTCATTAAATCCTAATTAGAGGGTACTTTATGGTCAATAAACGACCATGAATACCCCCAACACATCACCCTACACAGACTGCAGGACATCTGGTTGAATGGAAGAACAATCACGCTTGTATGATAAGATTATTAGGGACAGATTGCTTGTTTGTTATTTTTTCCTGTCATGATTTCTGTCATCGTAATAGCTGAAGAACTTTTTTTTGTGGGGGATGGGAGTTTTTATATTGATTGATTTGATTCAAATGAAAAGAAAACGAATCAAACTTCTATGAATTCAGTACATAAAAAAGTAAACTTGTACTGTCATTTCTTAAAAGTTCTATGTAATCCTCATTTTTTGTTGTGGTGAAGTGTAATATATTAGTTTCATTATCATATCTTCATTTGTTACTTACATGTATATATTATACTGGTTATGAACTAATTATGATTTTATAATGATGATAAGATTTATTACAGTTTATCTTTGTCATTGAAGGAGGTGATTTAGAGATAGTTTATCACGAAAGATGATTTTTCATGATTACTTAAACCCATTGGATATGGGTTGATTTTAATATAACTCAAATTTGATAACTGGACATTTTCTCCTTTTGATGATTGTTTTGTGCTTTATTTTGTCAAAGGTATAGGGTAAGAGTTTAGGGTTGGAGTTAGGAATATTTAGTGTTGGAAATTGACATGAAGTAATTGTAGTACAACCCACGAACCAGGATGGCACATTTAAAACATGTTATTAAACAGATTTTAAAACATGTTTTAAATCGCCAGGTTTTTTTAAAACACTTCTATAGACATGTGCGTTATAGATTTAAGGCTTATCGGTACTAGTTTACAGGAGGGATTAGACCGCCCTGCAAGGTCACTGGACAGGTGGTTATCTCATCAACTCAGCCCTCAGTTAACATAAGAAAAAGAGGATCATGGGGGACCAATGGTCACCAATTAGGCATTGTTTAATATAGAGAGGGCGCAAGAAGCTACAAGTAGTGCAGTGGGCCTTTAATATGCAATTTCTTTCAACTTTCTTGCGTAAATTTGCATGGCCGTTTTGCATTTATTTTGGCATGTACATGATTCCACAGTAACTGTTGCTTATTAAAATAGCAGTGGAGTGAAATCTTTCTCCACTCTGTCTCTCTCCTCCTGGGCCTTCTGGAAAGTTATCTGAGGGTTCTAGCAATCAACAGTACATGATACCATCAGCCCAAGAGAATAAGACATTTTAAACAAGAAAATATGTATGAAGTTATCTTAGATTTACATGTAGGATTCAACAGGTTTCCATTTAGCTTAATGATTTTCTCTTACACGCCGAGGCCATCAAGGGCATGAACACCACGGCGATCCACTTGTGTTTAGAGCAGTGTGGTGCTATAATATTGAGTGGCACCCTCTCTTATGAGGTCACTGTGACATGAAATGCAGAGGGTTTACTGTGGAGTGTTGATGGCTGATTAAATTCAGAGAGGCTCTGCATCGAAAAATAAGCCACCAATAGAGCCCCTTTTGCACAAAAATAATCCTGTTAAAGAAAGAATGCAGAAGGAGAGATGGATATATGCATTGGATAAAAAATATGGTAAATGAAGAAAAGGATAATTGTATTTTAAAGTAGTTTGGTTTCAATATGTAATAGCTTAAGTGCATTACAGACCCCCGCCTATATATGTGCATATTGTTTAGATGTACAAAATCACAACACTCATGAATATAATAAATAAGTCTGGCTCAGTTACACATTTACACATTTGGCCCATTTACGCAATATGTTCATGTGGGTGATGGATTTTTCATTTGGAAAATTCAGAACAGTGATTAAACCTCTATTTTACAATAAAATGTTTCAATATACGACATTTTGTTTTATGTTGTTCAGACAAGATAAAATAATTAATCCATACATGTGCTGTATGTAACTACACAGTTATCTAATGGAAGGTAGTATTTTCTGCTTGTCTGAATGAGTCTAGCTAGTTTGCAAGGGTGAGAACTGGGAAGACAACTAGAGATGAAAGGGTGTATGCTAGGCCCCTGGTTATTTAAGAAGCTATTGAGTGACGTTTGAAATGAGATGAGGTTTGGTTGTTTCGCTGCCACGATGTAAACAAGCAAAGACTCTACAGGCGGTTAACCTTTCCTGTTTCCTTAAGATAAAGACCAGTTCTGGTCGTGCGATTGCATTGTGAGAAAAACGTGGAATCGATCAGAAAAGGTTGATCATCTACATGTACACTGTACATGTTGCATATAAGTATTGGTGTGTACTGCAAGGTTCTGGAATCATCAAAATGATGAGAAATTTGGCCCAGTCTTGGTAAAGTTACAAGCATTGTACACAGAATGATGATTATGGGGCTACGCGACACGTGCATTATATCTATCAGGTCCAAATAGATATAATAATGTACCAAAGATATCAATTAGTAGGCGGTTTCTCAGCAAAATTTGTATGAACACGTATTAGTCAAAACATATTCTTTCACATGATTGGTAATAAGAGCTTCCATTTCATTTTTTGAGAGGGGGCTTTTCCAAAACTGGTCTTTACCTTCAAAGTCACAGAAACCTTTGCTTTTAATGTCATCTCTTTTTGAATCACTAGTAATTTTCTTTTCCTTTTGTTACTTTCTTGATTTCTCCATACTTTAGTGAGAATACGTTTTTTTGATTCTTTGTAATCAGTATCAAGCCAGTAGTGACAAGTCTAACAGACATGAGCACTATACAAGAACCCATTATTATTGTTATACATATGAGATTTTATTAAGAAGGCAAGGACTTCTTCTAGCCTTTGTATTCATCATCATCGCCATCATCATCTTCATTATCATTATCATCACCATCATCTTCATTATCATTATCATCACCATCGCCACCATCCTCGCTATTGTAATCATCATAGTCGTCATAATCATCACCATTATCATCATCACCACCATCATCATCACCATCATCATCACCATCATCATCATCATCTTCACTATCATCAGCGTTATTATCATCAGCATCATCATCTTCATCATCATCTTCACTATCATCATCAACGTTATCGTCATCACCATCATCGCCATCATCATCATGATCATCCTCGTTTTCAAATTCTTGTGTGTATGTGTATGTGTTTGTCTGAATGATTACAGTCTTCCTTTACTACGTACCTACTTTAATCAATGAATACAAGCCAACCTTACCAAATAAAGCTGCCAATGGAATAAAGAATAAAATCAATCAGCAAATCAACCATTCTTCTGATGTTTTTTTCTCCCTTGTACATGCAGAGAGGCCTTGACGACCGTACACAGAGAGTTGGTGAGGATGAAGTGATGGTGAAAGGAATAGAGAGGACCATCAACTCGTATGGCAGCATCCCTGATACGTGGCAGTCATACTTCCTCCCTGACGGGTAAGTCAACCATCTTTGCATCTACCGTAAATCTCCGTGTATAAGGCACACTTTTTTGCCGCCGAAAAAAATTGAAAGTCGGGGGTTCGCCTTATACACAGGTACAGAATTTTTATTTTTTTTTATTTTTTAATTTGTTTAAAAAATAGTTTCAATTCATGGCGCTTTATTTATGCCTGGCAATGTCTCCTAGCTCAGTAATCAGTGTGTTGACTCACCACTCGGAAACTACAACCACACTAAAATTTGTCTGTCACCTTGGTTTGAAAGTAATCTTTCTAATAGATCTCAATATGTAGTTTATAATAATAATTCCTCAATTTTTTTTATATAACAAATGGTGTACCATTAGGTTCTATCCTAGGACCTATATTCTATTGTTTTTAATTTACATTAATGATCTTACACATTCTTCTAAAAACGACATTGTTACTATTATTTGTGACAAGTTTACAAGCACAAATCAGCGCCTTTAACTGCACCTCGATGTTAATTGAAGGTCCTTCCCCGCGTGGGTTTTCGGCAACAAAACAAAACAAAAAACAAAAAAACAAAAAAACCTCCCCAAAATAGGGGTGCGCCTTATACACAGGTGCGCCTTATACACAGAGATTTACGGTTTACTCTTCATACCTTAAGCTCTTTTCACACTGCAGGTATAAAGTACATGTTGTACAAGTAGCCATACAGGTACTTTTTGATATTTAAGTAAACTATCTTTGCATTATTTTTCTACCTCCACCTTAATATACAATACTCCAACTATTCAAGTTTCAAGCTTTTTTGTCATGTTTGTAAAATTCTTTTTGTTTTCCTTCTTTAAAAAAACATTCTTTACCGTTTAAATTAAAAAAAAAAAAAACTGTACATTGAATGTTGCTTTCCCCATTTATAACCTCATTTCATCAACCTTTTTACCCCTACATGTAACAGTATTTGTCTTTTCAATTTTCCCATTTTCTTTTTTCTTTTTTCTTTCTTTTTTTTTTTTTTAATAATATTTTTTTATGGGGGGGTTGTTTTTTTAGACATTTCCCCCACTTTTATTTGTATCAGTGTTCATCTGCTTTGTACGTTTCTTACCCTTTATCTCCCCTGCCTTCTTGTTTTCCTTTAAGTCTTCTCTGTTGTGTTATCTTTTTGTTTGTTTCTTGTGCAAGTATAACTCACCACTTTTGCCAAACATTTAGACAACCGGACATGTTGTACAAAGGATTGTCTTACATAATAATAATAATTACTTCCACTTATATAGCACTTCTCATAAAAGATTTATATCAAAGTGCTTTACAATATTGAGGCAAGTAAAATTAAACAGAGAAATGACAAGAGAAAAAAAAGGTGAAATTATTAAACGTAAGATAACAAGGTAAGGTAACAATTTAAGAACTGGGTTGAATATGCCTTTTCCATTAGATTGATTCTTTATGATCTTTATTCTTGACAGTCGAGTCCACGTAGGCTCCCCTGTCACCATGCATCTCTTACATGTTTCTTAATGATCTTTATCCGTGACAGTCACTTGGCCAGTCGAGTGCACGTCGGCTCCCCTGTCACCATGCATCTCTTACATGTTTCTTAATGATCTTTATCCTTGACAGTCACTTGGCCAGTCGAGTCCATGTCGGCTCCCCCGTCACCATGCACCTCTTGAGGATACCAGAACCCCAACCGGTGGATGATAGGGAGGACAAGCCCACCTTCCCCAAGAAGCCTCTCAACTGGGAGGAAGACATGCAGTTGTATTCACAATTCTTAGACAGAAAGGTAGGGGCACCCCTTCAAACCGTGGGATATTCAGAGCTGCCAACCATTACGTTTTTCCCAGAATTATTCCGTTTTTTTTTCTCAGACTACGGTAGTACGTTTTTTTTTCTCATAAAAATATGTTTTTTTATACATTTTTAATTTTTAATTTTTATGCCTCCGTTACGAAGTAGCCGGAGGCATTATGTTTTCGGGTTGTCCGTCCGTCCGTACGTCCGTACGTACGTACGTACGTACGTCTGTACGTACGTACGTCCCGTTCTCGTGATCGCGTTATCTGAAGAACTGGTTGATGGATTCCTGCCAAACTTTGGTCATGTATGTATCTTGTAGAGCCGATGAACTGATTAGATTTTGGGGTTACCAGGTCAAAGGTCAAAGGTCACAGGGCTCATTATGTATGCAAAACGAGCTCGTGATCGCGTTATCTGAAGAACTGGTTGATGGATTCCTGCCAAACTTTGGTCATGTATGTATCTTGTAGAGCCGATGAACTGATTAGATTTTGGGGTCACGAGGTCAAAGGTCAAAGGTCACAGGGCTCATTATGTATGCAAAACGAGCTCGTGATCGCATTATCTGAAGAACCGATTGATGGATTGCTGCCAAACTTAGGTCATGTATGTTACTTGCAAAGCCAAAAAACTGATTAGATTTTGAGGTCACGAGGTCAAAGGTCAAAGGCCACAGGGCTCATTATGTATGCAAAACGAGCTTGTGATCGCGTTATCTGAAGAACCGATTGATGGATTGCTGCCAAACTTAGGTCATGTATGTTACTTGCAGAGCCGATGAACTGATTAGATGTAGGGGTCACAAGGTCAAAGTTCAAAGATCACAGGGCACATTATGTATGCAAAAACAGCTCGTGATCGCGTTATCTCAAGAACCGATTGATGGATTCCTGCCAACTTAGGTCATGTATGTTTCTTGCAGAGCCAATGAACTGAGTAGATTCTTGGTTCATAAGGTCAAAGGTCATGGGCTCATTATGTATGCAAAAATAGCTTGTAATCACAATATTCTGAAAACCTGTTAATGGATTACAATTGAACTTGAATTCGAAAAATTTCTTCTGTTTTGGTTTGTAAAATTGCTCTATGACGGAGGCATCATTTTCGACTGCGCGCAGTCGAAGTTCCATCTAGTTAATTTAATTTTTTAAACAAAACGTTACCCAGATGCCCTAAAATGTTGATCACAACTTCAATAGAAAACTTCAATAGAGATTTATCAAGAGTATGAATTTAAAAAGTAAACGAAAAAAAGTGAAAGGCGTAAATATTCTCAAAAAGAATTAAACGCTGATAATACCGAAAAATCAACAACAAATAACTACCTACTTGTAAATAAACTATAGGTCCTAATGTGGAAATAACAGCATGAGGAATGGACATTTCTATCGCTTAAAATTCCTGTTTTTTGCTGTCATGGTTCCTTTTTTGGGTTGCACAAGGTTGGCAACTCTGGGTATTGGTCTGCATGGCTGCCAATCAGTCCTATTTCGGAAGAAGGATTCCTCTTGCAGTGAAACCTCTATATAATGACCACTCAAGGGAGACAAGAAAAGTGGTCTTTATAAGCAGGTGTTCTTTATGTAAAGGTTTTTTAGTACACATTTCAGTGAGAAACCTTATTCAATGGAAACAGAGAATGTGGTCTTTCTATGCAGGTGGTCACTAAAGCAGGTTTGACTGTATGTTGGTGTCAAATTCATGTCATGGACCCTAGATTCCTCTCTCTTTCTGAAAAATCCTGTATGAAAACTATACAAAATAGACTCTGTTCCTAATCTTGCTTTAGATATCCATAATTTTTGTTGGGAAAGGTGGACATGTATGGGTCTGTTCTCACACTAATCAGGGTCCCTAGCTAGTCTTGAAATATGGGAATAGCTTGAAATAGTTCCCTTGTTTTCTAGTCAGGGAAAAGTCTGGGAATTTGAGAGAAGAATCACTCCCAGCGGGGGGAAATAGAAAGTTCATTGTTTCCAAAAGAAAGAAAGAAAAAATGCAAACTACATATCTACTGGATAATAGGCAGGTAAATTAGTTGAAATAATGAACATGGACAAAACTCTGTCAGGGGAAATCGGCCGAGAATCAGGATTTTCTTTCTTCATGAAATGCTCGGAACTCTGCTATAAATAGAGGCCTAGCAATTGCTTTTCCAAGCCTTTTTAGTTGAAGAAATAGGCTGAAGTGTAGAACAAGCAATGGCCTATGCTATATTAAAATGAAAGGTTATCAAGTAGAAGCTACATGTATTGCTAGGGATATTGCTATGTCAGGCATGCAAGTTGGGAGCAGGTATTGTTTGTAAGTTTATAATTGGGTTATAAATACCCTCCAACATCAGCTCAATTAAACTGTCTTGCAGGATAGTGCACAAGTGTAGTTTATGCACCAGGGAACAAGTTCAGGGTTTATAATCAAAACTGGTATGTTACATGGAAATATACTAATGTCTAATGCCCCACATACAGTACCGGTACATACATATATACCAGCTGCAAGTTTTATGGTGCATGTACATACATAAACTACATTAAACACAAACCTTTTAAGACGTCATGCCTTCTCCTTCTCTCTTCATTGGCTTTACACATCAGAAGCCTTACAAGATGATGAATGGAAGACCAGAAGCAAAACAAGCTGCCTTATGCCATGAGCTTATGTCATTTGTGTTATGAAATGTTAAAGCAGAAGCCATACATGTATATTACACAAGGATACTGAAAATAAAGGGCAGGTCACAAACGTCTTTTTAGATAAGTTACTCTATGACAAAAACAAATTGTGTCATGATGCTTCCATGTATTGAAAATTACTGCCATTTTCACAGCCATAAACTAGAGAAAGTACAGGGTGGTGTCAATTATGATTTAGCTATTTTGCAGCCTGAAACTTTTAAGAAAGAATTTGATCCACTTGCCAAACTTTGCGCTTGTTTCATGTGTGCTATTAAAGGTTTCTGGTTTTACAGAAAATCAGTACTGCGAGCTCATTAGCATAAATCAATGATACCGCTTCTACATAGATGGCTTATCTCATTACCGTAATCCTGGCTGTTGATATGTCACCGACCCTTTACAGATCAGTATGAATAGCACATTATTAGATAGATGTACATCTCAAAAGGGTTTTGATGACCTATTCACTGCATCATGGTTTGGAAGTTTGATTGATTGTAGTGTTAGAATATTTGTGGTGTTTAAAAAAAAGAGAGATGAAGATATCTTCTTGACAAATCTAAAGTATCAGTGTATATTTACGATGGACATCAGTGTTTTGATAAGAGATGTGGATCTGATAATCATACCATCTTCTTAAATGATTAAAGAGGTTCATCTGGTTGGTGAAAATTAGTTCTTCACAATCAGAAGAAAACATATGTGTTTTGGTAAGCTTTCGCTTGCTGTATTGCAAACTTCTTCAGACCTATGTCGTAGCTTGCACAGTTGCTGATGCAGAATGCCGATATGGTACAATGGGATTGTACGCTGAACAAACTGGAACAAAAGCAGCATACTTTCACGTGACAGGAATAGGTCCACCAGATGGATAAGAGAGGCTGCATATATATGTACTAAAAGTGACACATGCATGAACAAAGACTTGGGACAATACAACCTTTCTACAACATACGTTACCATTGTACCATATCATTGTACTGCATCAGCAAAGGGCCAGTTACAACATAGGAAGCTTGCAGCACAGCGAGTGAAAGCTTATTAAAACAAATACGTTTTCTAAAGACTGTGTAGCCTATAACCCAGAGCTCAAAGCATTTCTTTTCTGTCATTGTTCCCTTACCCAGGAGGAGCTCAAAGGCGACCATGCAACCTACATGAGGCATCACCCAGAGCTCAAGGCGCTCCTCGCCGACTTCCTGCAGTTCCTGCTTCTCCGGAAACCTGAGGACATCGTGACCTTCGCTGCCGACTACTTCTCCTCCTTCTCAGCTTCCACCAAATCCGGCTCTGCCTTCGCCACCTCACAGGAACCCCGCTTCACCCAGAGGCCCACCTCACCTCACAAGAAGCAAGGAGCGTACAGCACAACGTCCAGCCACTAGTCCATGTTTGTAGACCCATTTGTGTATTCCATTAATCCTCAAGAAACTTTGGAACAGGAACCCCGCTTCACCCAGAGGCCCACCTCACCTTACAAGAAGCAAGGAACGTACAGCACAACGTCCAGCCACTAGTCCATGTTTGTAGACCCATTTGTGTATTCCATTAATCCTCAAGAAACTGTGGAACAGGAACCCCGCTTCACCCAGAGACCCACCTCACCTCACAAGAAGCAAGGAGCATACAGCACAAAGCCAGCCACTAGTCCATGTTTGCAGACCCATTTGTGTATTTCATTCATCATCAAGAAACTGGGGAACAGGAACCCCGCTTCACCCAGAGGCCCACCTCACCTTACAAGAAGCAAGGAAGGAGCATACAGCACAAAGCCAGCTACTAGTCCATGTTTGCAGACCCATTTGTGTAATCCATTAATCTTCAAGAAACTATGGAACAGGAACCCGCTTCACCCAGAGGCCCTCCTCATCTTACAAGAAGCAAGGAGCGTACAGCACAACGTCCAGCCACTAGTCCATGTTTGTAGACCCATTTGTCTATTCTGTCAATCCTGAAACTCTGAAGTGCTGACTGACCCACCAGATTCCTTCTTCTGCCCTCTATTGGAGAATACTTGTGTACCTAGGACAGCCAACTGTGATGGGTGATAATTTAGACTGTTGAGTGCTGCAGTAATTGTAGATTGCAGATGTTAAAAACCAAATGATGTATTCAATGAAGTCCCATAGTTCTCATACCTTTAGAATTTTGAAAGCATTTGTTTGAAAGCATTTTTCGACAAATCTTATGACTTTTGTTTCTTAAATCCGACTTTCAGAATCACAGGAAAGGTACAGTAACAAGGTAAATACCCAAATGCAAATCTACATGAACTCTATTGTACATTAATATGTACATGTAGCTGTTTGATGTCATATAGAGGCTGGTTTGGTCCCATTACATGCTACCTCAATTCTTATTGCATTGAAGCATTAATACTGTTCCCTATTTATTCCAAAACACTCCTTAAGTATGACCACATGTTTTTTTTACTTCAAATTCATCTTCAAACAAGGACCAAACTGGGGTCCAAAGTTCCAAAAACAGTTGTAAATCAATCTGATTTCGAATTGAAAGATCCATATTTTATATATATATGTGGATCGTGCACATGATCTCAAACACTGGAAGTTACATCCAAGATTCTTTAGGCTTACATTTAAAACCATTGCCCTTTTGTCGACCACGAATATCAATGAGTCAGAATTACAAGGACTCAGATATTTGTTTCTAATTCATCATGTCATCGCCATGGAAATGGTCTGGTGTGTCTAGTCACTGCCGAGGGCCCTGTTTCATACAACTTTTTTTAAAATCAAGATCAAGATATGATCATTGTTATAAGCTACAGAAATCCTTACATTTGATTGGCTACTGGCAGATTTGCCACAGATCTATAGCAGATGTCATTGATAACAAGTTTTATGTAACGGGCCCCAGATATAGTTTGCAGGCAGGCACAAAGCCTGGTCAGTCATTGGTGTTACACAGTGTCTGAACTGTAAGACTACTTGGCGATGGCTCTGTGGTAGAGCAGTCATCTCATAACCGGGAGGTCCAGGGTTCGAAACCAAGTCAATGCGCTCATGCCCTTTCTTTGGTAAGGCATGCATCCTCATTACCTAGTCTCTCAGAGAGGACTTAAAGCTGTCAGGTCCCCTGGTTGTTTACTTTAAATACAAGCATATACATGCTTTCTTAGCAGTCAGGTAAAAGAATCATCATCAAACCAACTTATAATAACAGACTGCACAATCTACTGCACCCCATAGGCCTTGTACTGTAGCCGCTCCTGGCTCAGCCAGAGACTGACAATTAAAGTTACTGGCTCTATCTCGACTGGATGGAATTGTGTTGAAATGTCAACTCATTGTCTGTACCTGCAGGCATGCTTGGAGAGCAGTTAATGTTGCAGGTTCAAGTCCCTCTTGGGGCCCGTTTCACAAAGCCTCTTTTCAATAATAAAAAATCACAAAAATCAGTGACAAATCTGCTTATAACCAATCAGAAGCAAGGATTTCAGTAGCTTATGACAAAAACTGTCATTTGTCACTGATGACAAGTTTTGTGAAACGCCACCCAGGTTTCCATTTTTCCTTGTTTTTTTCTCATTCAAATGCAGATGAGGCACACACTCTCAGATTCTGGGAGTTACAAAAAAACAAAAACAAAACATATTTTGTAGTGGAAATTTCTTCTTTACACCATTGTATTCTGTCTACCTGTATTCCTAAGTTTTCCTTGTATGTTTTGAGACTCCTAGAAATGCCAGATTTGTTTGTCTACCTATAATTTGTTTGCTGAGCGCTAGAAGGAAGTTATTAAACTCTGTTTGAGTATATGAGTTAACACCCTTCTCACTCCAAATAGATGATTTATTGAAAGAAGTTATTCATTTAAATACTTCTGTTCTTTATTCTGGCTGGGTACTGGTTAGCATCACAAAGAGGGACCATGAATTGTTGTTGTTTTTGTTTTGAAGTTTTTCATTCTGCTTCATAGTGGTTCAATTGCAGTTTGAAAAAAACCTATTGTGAGCCCTTAAACTCACAAATGGGTCTTTGCATGGCACTTTTTGTATTGTATATACTATATAATAATGTAGATGAGAGTGAAAAATTCACATTTGTACAGAGAGAAAGAAGAAGATTGTATGATTCAGTTTAGAATTTGATACATAGTCAGAGTGTATCGTTGTACAGTGTAGATAGATCTAGTCTAATGCATTCTTTATTCATGAAGAGCTTTTTCGTAGTGTTGATGAAGACAGATAAAGCATTCAACTATTTACGACGAGAAATATATTTATACCATATTCGTTGCAAAATGGATTAGGGTTTCCATTTTACTCACAACCACATGTACAATCTATAAATTGTTTAAAATTAGTTCTTTGAAATTAATTTCCATCCTATAATGTTTCAAATATATCTACTTGGTCAACTATTTCAGATGAGAAGGATAAATGTTTATCATATCCTGTGCAGAAATGGAGAAGGGTTTCAATTTTACTCACATTTATCTACAGATGAGAGAATACTTGAAAGGAAAATATCAATCCCGTAAAATGTTTTAAACTTGTATTCTTGGTTAATATTTCAGATGAGAAAGTTATATTTATATCATATCTGTTGCACAAATTGATGTAGATTTATTTTGATTTCAGATTTAAAAAAAAAGTCTTTAGGGGGGAAAATGCTGTTTCTTTTTAAGAAATTCCAACTTTTTTGAGAATATGATTTAAAAGAAAATAATTTAACGATGAGCTACTTCTGTTATACACTGCTTATATTATGAGCATGGTGCTATTATGTACAAAACATGTCATCTCCCTTGATACATTAAAACAAGTGAAACAAAAAAATATACCTTGCTGTATGAAAAGGGTAACCTTCTTACAATTCATTTGGAATATCAAAATACATATATTGACTGCTTTGAGGGCCATTGCTAAAACTATTGCCTAAGGTGATCTCAAAACTACTGTAAGCCAAGATGTAATTGAGGGGTATAAGTGCAGTCTCGAGATCCTAAAGGAGCTATAGTTGTAATCGTGACCCCCCAAAAATGCATTCAATATTTGCTTTAAATACTGCATACTCAAAATTCTCAAAAAGAGATATTTTTACAAAATATGCATGTCAAAGGGTATTTATTTGTAGAAAGGTATGAATAAACATGTCTAGAACATTTATGCAACCATCGCATCCTTGCATGGCTAGTAGAACTATACCAGGTCAAATATTTTTGATATACTGCCCAGCAGCCAGTAGCAAATTTCATGCCTGAAGTTTTGACCAATCAGAGGCCTAGAATCTTGACATGTGATATATAATAGTAATGTTTCACCCTTCTCATTGTGAGTTAGCCAATATGGCATCCAACAGATTGTCTGCATAGGACTTCAAGGGCATTTAAGGCCTTTATAATCTCTCCATCAATTGTCTACTTTTCTCATATACCATAGTAAAATATTAAAAATGGGCCTTTTTCACTTAAATGAGAAAAATATTTAAATTTTTCATAAATGTGTGCATAATGAAATTCTGTTTTTCTTTGTCATTAAATTATGAAGAGATGCATTGCCTGTGTGAAGTGTCGTATATTATTTTTAGTTATCTATCTGGGCTGTAGAAAGTGGGGCCCTCCCGTGGAAAAAAAAGAAGTTTAAAACATGTTAATTTTACCTTTCTTTGGAGATGGGCCCCCTCCCCTGCCGCTCAAGGGGAGGGGGGGGGGTGTGATTTTTCAAATTGCCGAGAGCCCCCCCCCCCCCCACAAAAAAGTAGTGCTCACTAAGAGAGAGAGAGAGAGAGAGAGAGAGAGAGAGAGAGAGAGAGAGAGAGATGTACAATAAGGAGGGAAATATATTGAAGAGAAAAGGGGGAATAATATGAAGATAGAGAGATAAACAAAGAAAAGGGGGACAGAGAGAGAGAGAGAGAAAGAATGTACATTAAAGAGGGAAATATATTGAAGAGGAAAGAGAGGGCGATCTAATAGAGAGATATACAAAGGAAAGAGGGAGAGAAAGAGAGAGAGAGAGAGAGAGAGAGAGAGGACGTACAATAAAGAGGGAAATATAAAGAAGAGAAAATAGAGGGAAATATAATGTGAAGATAGAGAGATATACAAAGGAAAGGGGGAGAGAAAGAGAAATAGAGAGAGAGAGAGAAAGAGGGAAATATATTGAAGAGAAAAGAGAGAGGGAATATAATGTGAAGATAGAGAGATATACAAAGGAAAGAGTGAGAGAAAGAGAGAGCCTCAGAGAAAGGATGTACTGTACAATAAAGAGGGAAATATATTAAGAGAAAAGAGAGGGGGAATATAATGTGAAGATAGAGAGATATACAAAGGAAAGGGGCAGAGAAAGAGAAATAGAGAGAGAGAAAGAGAGGGAAATATATTGAAGAGAAAAGAGAGGGGGAATACATGTGAAGATAGAGAGATATATTAAGGAAAGAGGGAGATAAAAAGAGATCTAGAAAGGATATACAATAAAGAGGGAAATATATTATTGAAGAGAAAAGAGAAGGGGAAGATAATGTGAAGATAGAGAGATATACAAAGGAAAGGGGGAGAGAAATAGAGAGAAAGAGGTAAATATATTAAAGAGACTCGATCGGGGGGAATATGTGAAGAAAGAAAAGATCTAGGGGTCTGGGGGGCGGGGGGGGGGGGGGGATTTGAAGATAAAGGTCGAAAAATACAAAGAAATGGAGTTGGAGAGAGCGAACAGTGAGAATGACAGGATTTACATTCTTATCACTTGCATTATTGAGACATTAAACACCATAAGTAATTGATTTCGTTGGGCGGACAGTATAGGCCAAGTTGATGATCATAATAATTATTTGCATGGTTTTTATCCTCCAACGTACCTCCAAGTGAAGATTCATATCGACAAGATATAAGATTGTGTTTGTTATTTGTTTTATTTATCCTTATTGAAAAGACCTATATATTTTACCAAATGCAAAGCATTTATACTAGCTAGTATAAATATGGCTCACAGACTGTTGGATATAAATAGGGACCAGAAATTGATTGACAAAACGACCTTTGCCACTAGTTTGCTAGCTATAGGAAATAACATGTGTGCCTATAGACCGAAAGCTTCAGTCTCTGATATCGACGGTGGTTCCGCTGAGATTGCTTCTGGCTCCACTGACCGCCTCTTTACAACAAATGTCAGTTTTATTAAAGAAATGACCCATATCAGACGGTTATTTCTGTCTAGTGTGCCTACAGCTGCATGCAGCCTATACTATAGCCAAGAAAGTTCGCCAGCTAGCTAGTGCAGAATATTTGATCAACAATTTGTAAACACAGCGGCGGTGATTGTCATACTTGGATTGTATTGGTATAAAGGTGAGCAAGCGTAGTTTGTTTACGGTTAGGTTTCATGCATAGGAGTGTGGGAACCAGTATCACTCAAGCAATGTTCCAGTACAACACAAGGTGTCGAGTACCAGAAGGTTTTGTATTATTAAGGCTTTAAACTTGAGTGATATCATGTAAGTCATTGCACTGTGTTATTATTATTAAGACAAGTAAAGTATAGGTAAATCATATACACTCTTTGTGTTTACATCATCCACATAACTGTTATTATTGTTACTTTTAATTTAATCAACAGCAGTAAACCTTGAACTATGTCGTGTTTGTCCGATGAAATCATTCGTGAGTTCAGGGAGAATGGGGCCGTGTGTTTGCGGCAGGCGTTCAGCAAGGACTGGCTAGAGGTTGCAGAGAGGGGGATCAATAGGAACATGAAGGAGCCTGGAGAGAACGTGGAGGTCTTACAGAGCGAAGGGGAAGGGACGGGCAGATACTTCACAGACTTTGCTAACTGGTGGAGGATATCAGAATTTCAGGAGTTTGTGAGGAAGTCTCCAGCTGCAGAGATCTGCGGGAAACTGATGGGAAGCAAGGTGATTAATTTAGGATGGTGGTGAAGAATGTGATGATGATAGTGATTGTTATTAGGATGATAATGATAATGATAATGATGATGATGATAATGAAAGGTGATGAAGAGAATATATATGATAGAAGAATGATGATGATGATGATGATGATGTAAATGGCTAATGGCTATATTAAAGAGAAGGTTGAGTTCTGGGAAGAGGTGAAAAATAATTTGTGAGCATCATTCTTATTATGCAAGTGTGGAAGAACATCAGTTAAGAAATGTTCCCTGAAAAGCATGGCTCTTCAAATGCCTTCATATTCTAAATATGCATGTAACATCGTAAAAATCGGGGGAGGGGGGGGGGGGGGGGGGCCGGGGGCCGGCTTTTTACGCCACGTGTTCATGTAGTTCCATATACATCTTTCTGTGTGTTTGTAACTTTACCAAGACTTGGCCAAATTTCTTATTTTTTATCATTTTGATGATTCCAGAACCTTGCAATACACACAAATTCTTATATGCTAGATGATCAACCTTTTCTGGTCGGTTCCACACCGTTTCTTTCACAATGCAATCGCATGACCAAAACTCAACTTCATCTTTAAAGATCATATGATGATGGTGACAGTTAATATTCTATCTGTTTTCTATAATGTGATTATGCTGGTGGTGGTGGTGGTTGTCAGGTGATAGTGATGATGACGATGCTGGTAAATGGTGGAGATAATGATGGTGATGATGGTAGGGCTGGTGATATACATGTAGGCCTATTATATACAGAGTTTGGCCAACTCAGTTTCACTGGGACACAACATGGCGTATTTTCTTTTGTTTTACAAGTGCTTTCCCAACAAAGCAGTAGTCGTCATATTGTGTCCAACTCAAACCTGGTAGGCCAAACTCTATGTATAGATGGCTCTGGGCCTAATGGTATGTGATGATGAGGTAATTTAGAATGATAACATGTTTATATTTCTCCTCACTCTACTAGCATGTAGTGTTCTACCATGAGCTGGTAGTGAGTAAGGAACCAGGAACAGATCGCATCACACCGTGGCATCAAGACCAACCCTACTTCCCAGTTGATGGGGACCAGGTGAGTTAGAGAGAGAGATCGAGAGGTATTCAGATTTCAGAGGGAGAAAGGAAGAGAGAGGAAGAGCGAGCAAGGAGTGTGAAGGCACGAGAGAGGGAGAGAGAGAAATAGAGAGAGAGGGAGAGAGCGAGCAAGGAGTGAGGGCAAGAGAGAGGAATTGAGATGGAGATACTAAAGGTAAAGAATGAGGGAGAGACTAGGGGGAGAGTCAGAAGGAGACAAACAAAAGGAGAGAAGGGGGAGGGACAGACAGAGAGAGAAAGGGAAAAGGCTAGACAAATTGTGTGAGAGAGAGAGAGAGAGAGAGAGAGAGAGGGAGAGAGAGAGAGGAGGGACAGAAAAAACAAGGGGGTGAGAGGATATGTGTGTCAAATGCAATTTGATTTTACAGTTGCACACGTTGTAGTTCCTGGACAGCTAACTGACGTGTATAGGCCTTTACTCTGATGATTTGACAAAACATTGGTTTCTACATCCATCTCTTAGAAATGAAATTGTCATGTGATTGTCATCGTCCTTTTCCCAGGTCTGTGCAATATGGCTGCCTGTTGACCCCGTTGCCAAGGAAACCTGTGTGACATACATTAAGGGGTCACATCGTTGGGGCAAATGGTTCTACCCTCAAAGGTTCAAGACGTTCTCGGACTACGAAGCGGACAATGAGGAGTCATGTGACACTCATGAATGGACGAGCCTGTCGGACATGAAGTTAGATACCACTCTTGATCAGTATGAGTTACTCAGTTGGGACCTTCAGGTATGTACTAGTGTACTTAAAGGAGGGGCGGGGGGGGGGGGGGGGGGGGGGGGGGGAGGATATGTCCCTCCTGACAAAGTTCCAAAATAAATGAAGTCACTTTTTTATACTGGTATATATTTGGCAGGTTCAATAGCAAAAATCTTTAAGTCAAAGAACAGACACAGCCCGAAAAAATTTAGACACATTTGCAAATGACTTACTTTTTCTTCCCAAACATATTAGCCCAAATTCACAAAGGAGGTTTATGTGCGTCATATGATGCGTTTTGACGTGTTTCAGACCAAGGTTTGTTCACAAACCTCCTTTGTGAATTCGGGCCATTATCTTGGATGTTTTCTTGGATGAGCCCCCACCCCCGTAGCGCAATCCAGGGCCTTCAAAAAGTGGAGCACAGTAAAAGCTGATATGTGGTGCCCCACCCAAGCCAGTAGAGCAGTCTGGATATCTTTTGGGTTAAATCTACCCCGATATTAAGTAATTGCATTTTATACAGGCAAAACAGTATTTAATTTTCAAAGTTGTAATCTATCAAATATGAATTGGCGACTCTAAGAGATTAACATGTATCTTGCTGGCACCTCTTTGGTTTGTACTAAAAAAAAGGACTTAAAATTTGATTTCCTTGAATACTAACGGAGGAAAAGTTTTATTTGACAGAGGTGGTGTTCATTAGCACGTGTTCAATAATATAGTTAAAACATTGAATTAATTTGTCAAAGGTTTCAGTGCCATTATAGTTTATATAAAAATGTAGTTAACTTTCTCCTCTTTCACAACAACCTTACAATTCATCTTTTATTTTACCTCTGAATACTATAGACATCTTTTTTTCCTTCTCAATATTTCTGGTTCTCATCCATTCCATTATAGCGCTTAGAGACTTAGGTGGTAAGCGCTTTATAAGCACCGTTATTATTATTATATATTCTAGCCTGGTGACTGCATCGTCTTCCACCTCCGTACCCTGCACATGGCCCCTGCCAATCATTCTCGTCGGGTCCCGCGTCGCGTTCTCTCCACTCGCTGGGCAGGGGACGATGTTACCGGCACGAGACGCCCCTGGAAGACCACGGATATTTACACCAAGGACTTGGTGCCCGGGAAACCCATCGCCAGTGAAAGATATCCCATAGTTTGGAGAGCAGAAAACAGTGTGGGAGGTATTTAGGTGCTGTCAACCCACAGCAGTTCAAAGTTGTCTTAAAGGGCAATCCAACCCTTGTTATAAGTTGATTTGAATGGAAGCAGAAAAAGTAATAGAAACAGAACGGCAAAAGTTTGAAATGAATCGGACCAATAGTAAGGAAGTTAAAAAACGATTGTAATAAGAGATATTCTAAGTCTACGCGAATCTCAAATTGGTAGTTTGGTCAGTGGATTGTGACGTAGGACATGAATAATTCTCCTATTTGCCGTGTACACAAATATTAATTTAGTTAAGTTCCTTCTCCCTTGGGGTGCTAACCAAAATATATTATAGATAGCATATTATTTTAGGTCCTCTAAAACAGAACAGACCCTTCAGAGCCATGACTTTTTGAAAGATATAAATTGTATTCATTTTATATGTTGGAACAGATGGGAAAGTAGTCCGGCAGTACATCACATTGACATTACCACTTCAGCCAATTTGAAGTGCCCATACGAATAGTGATTACAGCTTTAAAAAAATCATCACTTTCTTGTATTTAGACAGATTTAATTGAAACTGTCATCAGTTTGCTTCTCTGATTTGTTCTGCTTTGTTTTAGAGTATTCTGTTTGAGTGGGATATCCCTTTAATGTCTGAAATAAATCCCATTTCCTCCTCAAATTGGCAAAGTATACTTTTCTACCTCTAATGATTCAAGTCTCAATGTGAATGAAAATTACTAGATTCAACAAAGCTGATTATAAATTTCACTGTGTTGCCAATTTAGAGATTTTGTGCAATTTATAACATTATTCTTATTACTGAACAATACAATGTACTGCATAAGAAATGGACCTACATGTATACTGTCAACTTTTCTGTGATTTTAGTTTTTTTCTGCATGAACCAGGCTCGGTTCATGTGGTGCACAACTTTTTGAATAATTTTACACAGCTTTAGTTTACATAACAAATTTACAGTGTATGCACTTAGAGAGCACAATAATTATTCTGTTATATTTACTAACGTAAAGCTCTTTGAGCATGTTTATGTAAAGGCGCTATATAAATATCATTATTAACCGTATCGGACATCTCAGCAGGGCAATTTTTAAATGTTATTGCCCTCAAGGTTTGATATATAAGCCAACAAAACTACAGGCGAAAAAATATTATTGACCGCTCAGAAAAGTCAATGGGATTTTGTGTGTAATTTGCCGGTCAATACGGTTATACAGTAAACCAATTAACAAATATTATTGCCTGATCTGAAAAGTGAATGGCAAAATGCATGTTAAACTAGTGAGCAATAATTGAGCCAGTTGTAAATTTCATCGCGCACCAGCTGCTGGTATATTACGCATATAAGAAAATGCGCACTATGCGCGAACTCTATTGACGTAACAATCACACCCGACCCTAGGCACACCGTTTGCAGTGTATCAAAAATTTGTCAAGCACTGGATGCACAGTGCTGGTTTGATGATGTTTTTGCAACTTCTAATGCTAGGAAATCCTGTGCAGTGTAGGCTACATACTTTAAGAGTATAAGATAGTAAGAGTTTCTTGTTTGCTCTAGATGTCTGATGTGGTTAATAATAGTAATGTTGACTGCCTAATTCAGGGCAATACGACTTGTCATACATCACCCTCACCTTCGGTTCGGGCGATATATGTCCTATTGCCCAGAAGGCAGTCAATATTACTTAAATATGTATGTATGTATGTATGAAAATATGTAATTCCTAGCATTTAGGATCAAAAGATAATCCAAATATGTTTCTACATAGATTTGACACTGAACTTGTATGGGTTATTCCAGTTTTGTACCAAGGTGACCTATAGTGCTAACTGATCCAGATACAATTCTAAGACACATTTTCGGGCCACAGCAATTGTTCCATGGTCCATTTCGTAAAGTAATTCTAGATCAAACACTAACCCTAACCCTACATGTATATAATAGGGGAGAACAATTCTTGGATCACTAAATACATATATTTAAGTTGAGTTCTGGTTATTAGGGGAGAACAATTCTTGGATCACTAAATTTATATATTTAAAGATAAAGTTGAGTTCTGGTTATGCGATTGCATTGTGAAAGAAACATTGTGGAATTGATCAGAAAAAGTTGATCATGTAGCATGTAAGTAATTATTGGTGTGTACTGCATGGTTCTTGAATGATCAAAATGATAAGAAATTTGGCCCAATCTTGGTAAAGTTACAAGCAATGGTACATCACATTTTCAAGAAAATGGCTGTGCCCATGTCATGCTAAATTACATCATGCTAAGAAATCTTCATTTATATATCTCTTGTACACTTTTGTAAGATTTATTGTAAATCAAAAGACAGGAATTCATCTTGTTTTTCTGAATACCTACACTAATTCTTTGGGGTTGGTTCTCCTTGTATTCAATTGACATCTTTTTACATATTGAAATATGTATAGTTTTATTTTTGTATCACAAAATCATTGATTTACAGTTAAATATCATACATGTAAATATTTAAGTTGATGATAAATTTCATGTTCATGGGTAGTAGACACTTTTGAATTAATTTATTTAGTGAAAATTGTAGGTTATATAAAAAAAATTATACATATTTTTTTATACCAGTACTTTAAGTAATTGCCGTAGCTGTTTCACACTTTCACGCTCACTTTGTTACCAGTAATTGAATTAAAAAAAGGAAAACAAAACAATTTAAACAACTTGAATAAAAACTCAACAAGTCACTAGAATTAAAAAGATGTAGTTTTATTACCCATGGTCTTTAAACATTATACTTTGTATCAAAGTAAATTACATGTAAATATTATCTATATCAATTATTATAAAGGTCACTTATAGAATTATGTGTACATAATTATGATCTTCCACGACAAAACTGTCGTTTGTTATGCAAACAAGGAATAAACTGAATATCTTCTGATTTGGAGCATTTCTCTTTTCTCTTTTCAAGATATGAGTAGCAAAGCCCATGCAAGGTAATGTGTTTTTTGAACTTTTTCAACCTTAATTAACTCTTAAAGGTAATGGGCAGGTCCAAGCTATTTGCTTTGTGACGTACGGGACATTCAGAGACTTTAAACAAGAAATAACAATGGATGACATTATTTATATGGCTATCTTTTGGTATGAGTCTGTGGCTATTATGGGTTAGTTCATTTGTGGAAAGTTTTAGGTCTGACCAATTCATAAATTAATTTTTAATGTAATTAATGTGCTGCGTGACGTACGGGACCAGAGAATTTCTGACTTTTTCAAAAATAAGTTCATCATAAAAGTTCTCTGAATTTATTAAGTTATGAGATTTATGGTAATGATATCTTAATTCATTATGGAATCAAGCATTAATCACAACTATTACCATATTTTTCTGACCTTTCGTTGTTATGTAATATACCAAAACATAAATGTGTGTATGTGACGTACGGGACACGTGACGTACGGGACAACTTTTCCCTATGGGAAAATGCATTGAAATGAAGAATTTTCGTCAAAATTTGTTAAATGTGAACAATTTTAACTTAAATCAGTGACAATTAAAGTGTTTTAGAACCCAATTAGATCATCTGACCATCACTTAATATCATCTGTGTTAATTTATGGGGTAAATCAATACAAATATTACTTTAACAAAGAAAACAAATTGAATTAATATATTCATACACACTATATTACCATTTTTATTCCATTTAGCCATCTATCATGTGCAGTCATGCTTCTTTTCTCATTTCTTTTATCCATTCTATTCAACATTGCAAAATGTTTTTAAATAATAATTAATTAAGAAGATGAACTTGAACTTGAAAACTTTTATTTAAACTTGTTTGAAACACAGGGGCACACTCGGCACATCATATTTTGTCAAAGAACATTTCTTATGCTCTAAGTGTTTGTGAACAAAGATACATTAAAAATATGAAGTCTTTTCTTCATAGCTTGTTTGAATTACTTGATAGTAATATCATAGAATATTGAAGAAATTCAAAGATAATGCTGAACATATTGTCTTTTTTTAATCCTTTTATCACAGATTAGAACATGTATATATGTTGCTGTCATATATTCAAGAATTTTGATGTACCGGTACATTAATGTAGCCTACATGTTTGTGAAAGATGGATACAAAAATATAAATCTTGAATGTATTTTGTATTGATTAAAGACATCTTATTAACACCACCAGATATAAGAAATTAAAACCCTAAAGGTTTGTGTGACCTTTTCCACAATTCAAAAGATTAAAGCAAAATCAGCACAAATGCATGGGTGTAAAAGTGATAAAAATCCTACAATGTAAGCGGGTGAGAGTGTGAAATACTCAAAAAGGCTATCCTTCCTTAAAAGTTATGATTTAGTTTTTAGGAGATCAAAATTCACAAGCTGGCTCCATAAAATTCTGGCTCCATAACATGTACAGTGTATGCTGTACCGTAATCCTTTACCATCATATAATAGAATATCAAAAAAACCTCACATGGAGAGCTTGATAGCATACATGTACATGTACATGTGCTAAGATTCTTACTTGCAGCATCTATGAGTTGTAAAAGCCAGCTTTTGGTGCATCTACTACCTTATAATTTCATTAGACTCATTCCAGGAACTAGTACACTATTATGATTTACATATTTAGCATCCTGCCAATGTTGGGGACATCAACTGGCAAAATACCAAAGTTGATAATACCAGGGGTCTGGCTTGAAGACTAATTACATCAAATTCAGTACAAAGTTACAAACAAGTAAATTCCTAGAAGGGACCCAGTTGGAATGTTCATATATCCCTGTATACAACAAGTTTCCTATATATTCTCCTTTTGGTCATTTCCTTTTTCACATCTTGCATTGGTTTTATATGGGGTTGTCCCGTACGTCACACACTTGTCCCGTACGTCACATTTCTTAATTTGATTATGTAATCAACATAGAATTTTTGTAATTTTTGTTAAACCTATTTTTTGTTAGGTATTCATCTAAATTAGAACTTCCTAGAATATCTTTAAAAAAAAAAATTATTTTCATAATTAAAATTAAACAAATTATGATCCAATTGTGACGTACGGGACATCACACTTTGGAACCTACCTCATTTGCATAATTAATTAATTTTGAAAGTTTTTATATTTTTTTTCCTATTTTCTAGCATAATGGTCTACAATTCCTGAGATATTTAATTTTAAACAAATAATTCAAACGAGATACAAAAATAAAAATGTAATGTCCCGTACGTCACGCTAATTAATACAAATCGAAGTTCGTGACCTTGGCACTCTTCGTATTTTTATTTTTTTAATTTTTTTTTATCAGATTCATAAAATTCATAGTTTCAGCTTTAAAATGAGGTATAGTTTGTTAAATATATATAAAGATGAAATTTGACCCCCAGAGGGGACAATAGCTTGGACCTGCCCTAATACAAAGTTTTGGGAAATTTTGAAAATTGGGTGGATAGTGATTCTTTACAATTTTGACATATTTGGATGCCCCTGTGGATGTATTAAAAGCACTAGAAAATTTAGCCGCTAAAACACTTCTGATTTCGAGAAAAATTGAATATAAAAATTTACCGGTGCTCCCGGTAAATTCTGATAAATTTCAAATAGCGACTACGGCCGTACAATGGTAGCTGTGACCATGGAAATCTCAGAATATGTAGTTGTGATATATAATTTCCAAACAGGAATAGCTAATCGGTCGATTTTAGTCAAGAAACAGCGTTTTATAGCTTAATTAATATCTTGACCTTGAGAGGGAGCTATACAACATAAAGAGTTATTATTTACAATTTCGTAACTTTAGACTCGATTTCAACGATCACTGAATATTGTTGGATCGCATATACTTCCAATATGTTCATTTGAACCAAATTCATGACCCCATACTAAAACTTTGTATTACCTTTAACTGCCACATACAATAATCTCTCTGTGTCACATTGTATTTTATTGTGGGACAGTCATACTAAAGGCTTCAAGATTATTAAACTATATTCCAAAACAAAATTAATCTAAACAGGTGTTAAAAGTGTTGTCAGAGCTAATGAAGGGTGAAATGCAGAATTTTGCAAAACCATCGAGTTGCATTAAGCAATCTCTCCATCAATTTGTTCCAATTGTTTTGTGCAAATTCGCATGTGTGGCAAACGAGTAACCAAGCAGAGAGGCAAAGAAAGCAAACAAAGGGTTAACAATGAAACAAGTAATTTTGGTTTGAATTTTAAAGGTAAAGACCAGTAGATGTAAAATTGTGGTTCAAGGGTTTTGGGTGCAAAATATCCATTCAATATTGTTTAAATATTACCTTCAGAGGTTTAGATGGCAATACTTTAACCTAAATTCACAAAAAACAGATATATATGCCCAAATGTTCAATGTTGAAGTGCATTCGCGATATCTATCCAGGCCGGATCAATATGATAATTTACCAAATATATCAATTAGTAGGCGGTTTCCCAGCAAAATTTGTAATTATCATCACATATTAGTCAAAACATATTCTTTCACATTATTGGTAATAAGAGCTTCCATTACATTTTTTGAGATGGGGTTGTTTCCAAAACTGGTCACTAAAAGCACTAAAAAACACTAAAAAGCTCATTTAAGATTAAATGTTGAAATAAAATTAGAGGCACAAAAGGCATAAAAACATGTGAGTCCACGCAATTTATCCATGCCATCCATGAATGAAAAATTATTTGACATAATGATGATAAATGGTAATGGTACCAGAAAATGCCATGTTTGTTTGTTATATAAATAATTCTCACTAGCGCTAATACGCCAAAAAAGCTCAGATGTAGCCTCTCGGACATAATTTTGTGCTACTTCCGAGACTTAAATACTTCTGGCTTACTTCTGGTGGCACACACAGTAGACATATTATGCATGCCTAATGCAGGTACTTAACGTGTCCAAAAGCTATTTCTAAGTTCTTCAATTTGTGTGATGGCAGCAACGAAAAACAAAAGAGAAAGATACTTCAAAATCATATTGATGGCCAGATTGAAAGAATGGAAGGCCTCTCGAAACTTCAATAAATGCAGACAAACAAACTATCCCAGAGTGTATTTGAAATAGGGCCTGAATGTAACATCTGGTATTTTTAATATATTGGCGAGGTGAGAATTACAGACAGTTGTGTCTACCTCCATTGGAATAATCACAACCTTTCTTTTTGAACTGCCTTAGATAAATAATTCTCACTACCATCTTATCACTGATCTTAAAAACCTCTTAATTGGTCTTTAGCCTTTTCCTTCATTCCCACATATAGTCCTTTCTGCTGGCCATGACATACACTTTAAATACACATGTGGTTGCTTAAATCCAGTTAAAACTGGTTTTCGGCCACTTCCAAACAAATGTTCTTTTTTATGCTGGTCATAAAGTAGAAGGTACATCTGCATTTCTTTGAATCAGGTAGAAACCGGTTGTGCCTGCTGTCAGTCTGGAAAGTTGTCTTTCCTGCTGCTCAAAACATTTACAAGTAAACAGTTCTCAAAATCCAGTTAAAACTGTTTTTCAACTGCTTCCAGTCCCACACATGTTTCCTGCTGGTCATGATGTAGAAGGTACATCTGAAGTTCTTTGGATCCAGTTGAAACTGGTTTTGGCTGCTTTTGCAAGTTTCTTCATCTCCTTCTCGCTAAGCTCCGCTTCCTCCTCAATGACAAGAGAGAGTGATGTGCTAGCCTCTGTTGCCATGGGCGGAGCTACATGTACATCTTCCGTCTCCATGTCCGAATCCAGCGAGGATTGGTGAGCGTGGTCTTCGTCATCAGAGTCCTCACTCTCAGAATCAGCTCCTGTGCTGCTTGGTCAAACACACAAATACATCTAGTTAGACTTTTAAGATACTGAGGGGTATACAAATATATATTTCACGATTTGCTATCATACATGGACAATTTACATTCAAAGAAACATGACTACTGAAGAAAAACCAACCCTTCTGGGGCCCCAAATTATGCCAAAATACTTCTTCTAGTTGTTGTCAATGTTCACCTTATTGTCATTCTTAATTATGATAATAACAATAACAATCTTGATTTTTATAGCACTTAATATGGAATACTGTCTCTCAGTGCTTTACAGATATTATTACCATGGTCATCAGATTTATTCACACACAATGTGCACCATCTCCACTCCCTGGGGAGTATTCCTACCATATGGTCACCGTGAGGGCATGTGGCAATTACAAGCAAAAAGGATTTCATCATCGTCCCCATTTCTCTCCTTGGTATGGAGTGGCTAATGTAGACTAATGCCTTGCCAAAGGAGATAAGTGCAATGTCTGGGATCTCACCCATGACCTTTGAATTTCAGGTCAAGCACTTGAACCACTCGACTACGACACCTCTACATTCATCCCTGTCATATGGTAATTCAGTCAAACCTGCTTTAGTGACCACCTGTCTACAAAGACCACATTTTTTGTGTCCCTTTGAAAATGGTTTCTTGTTGAAGCATACACTAACATACCTGCCAACCACCCCGATTTAGGCGGAGTTCCTCCGCATTTTTCATACCAATTCCGAATTCCGAGTGCCTGCCTCAAAACTCTGATATTTTTTAATTTTAAAATATTTTTAAAACAAACGACTGTTGCATAAGAGTAAAGCATAACACAGCATTGATAACCAGATCACGCCGACATCCGCGCTCGCGCTCATAGAAGATATACACAGCGCAGCCCGAACGTGATCGTTAGTTCCGCAGTCATTATCCATGTACTGCATGTACTAGTACATGGAAGCACGTGCGCAAGCTATATCGATAGAGTGTGTGCGGACGTTGTACTAATACATACACTACATGCAGCGTTGTTGCATAGTAACTGCATGCGTATAGCCCACGTGTATTTATATTACATGTGGAGTTGATACACCGTGCATAAACACCGTATACATTGGCGTGTTTTCTTCAATGCTTGTGCGATGACTGCGATCGTGGAAGCTTGTTATTTACCGGACTTCCTCAGATTTATTTTGGATTACTACTACTATATTCTTCTTCTTCGTTGATTTCTCCATTTTTGAAGGACAAAATGGGTAAGACTCGTGCTGTTCATAATCAGAAGTATAAGAAAGAATACGGGAAACAATTTCCAGTTGCAGAATCAGCACTCGGACTTCAACACGCATTTTGCATTGTGTGTTCGGCCGACTTCAGTATCATCCATGGGGGAATGAATGACATTCAGAAACACATGAACTTGAAGAAACATAAAGCTTTCAGCGAAATTAAGGACAAGGCTCGTCCAATTTCAACCTTCTTTTCTTCTTCTGGAGATCTCGATGTCATCAGAGCAGAAACTTTGTTTACTGAATTCATCATAGAACACAACTTGCCCTTTTCTGTGGCTGATCATTGCACCAAGCTGTTTCGTAAAATGTTCCCTGACTCCAATGTTGCAAAAAAATACTCATGTGGACGGACGAAAACGTCGTATCTCGCAGAAGCTCTTGGGAAACAATCGAAGCAAAGTATCTTGGATGTAATTCGAGTGTCACCGTTCAGTATGGCAACAGACGGCAGTACCGATTACGAGGATGTGAAACTCTACCCAATTTGTGTAAGATACTGTGATCCCAACAGCGGCAAAGTCAACTCAGTCATCCTGTCTTTGAAAGAGTGTAACAAGCCATCAACTGGAGAAAACATTTTCAAACTGTTGGAGGCAGAAATGGATGAGCTTGAAATTCCCTGGGTGGGAAAATCTGATATGCTTTTCTGCAGACAATGCATCTGTTATGCTTGGAAAGATGAAGGGAGTAGCTGCATTTCTTCTTCAGCAGGCTCCATCCCTCCACATTGCTGGTGAGTTTTTGTGTTTGAAATTTAGATTTTAAACTTAAAAGGCAAATAATCTGGCTGACAAGCAAAGTCTAAATTAAACAAAATAAAATACACCCCCACAGAATTGAGTTTGTGGGGCTTTAAGAGACTAACCAATATGTAGATTACAAGTGTAGTCTGTAGATGATATTTAGTTTTAACTGTTGAGCTTAGAATTTTCAATGTGAATTTTAAAAATATATATGTGACACTCGCCCTATTTAGTACTTCCTGAATTGATTTAAGGTGAAAACTGATTTTAAATACAGTTTTTTAATTCATATTAATTATTTGATTTTAGTAACATTTTTGTAATTGTGGATTTTAATGTAATAGTTTGTTACTTTTGTGATGTTCTTAGTTTCTATTCTATTCTACAGTAAATACTTTTCATAACATAATAAAACTCTCTATTATAAAACAATATTTTCTTTTCTTTACAGGTTGTCCCTGTCATCTTATTCACTTGGCTGCAGGAAGGGCTGCTAAACAACTGCCAGTTTCCGTTGATGATCTCCTCGTAGATATTTTCTACTACTTAGAGAAAAGCAGCAAACGAAAACAAGAGTTCAAAGAGTTCCAGAAAAAGGCTGGTGTCCCTCATCACAAAATTGTGAAGCATGTGGCAACCCGTTGGCTTTCCCTGGGGCACTGTATTGAGTGTCTGCTAGAACAATGGAATGCTTTGTTGTTCTTCTTCAATGAAGAGGACAAGAAGAATAATCCATGTACAAGGAAACGCAGTGCATCGGACCCTCTCGTTACCTCTCCCCCTAAGAAACAGATGAAACTACATGCCACCAACACACCAAAGTCTTCAAAGACTGTACGTATAGCATCACGTTCTTCACTAACTGGCACTGTGGTGAGAAAAGTAGCATCATCTTCAAAGACAAAGACACTGACTGGCACTGTTGCGAGTAAAGTAGCATCATCCTCAAAGACACTGACTGGCACTGTAGCAAGCAAAGTAGCATCATCCTCAAAGACATTGAAAGCAGGGAGTGCCACTGGTCCTGATAAGACTCCACATTCTGCACAGAAGTCATCAGCTGCAAAGTCCCAACCATCATCATCTTATGCATCATCAAAATCTCGTAATGTCTGCACTATGATGAAAGATCCAAACTACAAACTGTACTGTCTTTTCTTGACAAAAGCTATACCCATTTTTGAAGTGGCCAATATCTTTCTTCAAAAAGATGAGCCATGCATACATAGATTACATAGTGTTATGTGTCACCAGCTGCAAGAATTGCTTGTAAGGTTTGTTGAGCCAGATGTTGTAGCCAAACAATCCAAGGTATATGAAGTAGACTTTCACTCTGAAATGAATCAGAAATGTGATGATGAGTTATTCATTGGACAACCAGCCCGTCAATTCATTGAAGAGAACACAGAATCATGTAATGTGAAGGAATTCTATGCCAGTGCAAGAAAATATTATGTGGCAGCATGTGAGTACATGAAGAAGTCCTACCCTTTCAAGGATGATGTTCTTGTCAATGCTGAGATCATTGATGTAGCAAAGAGGACAAACATCAAGCTATCCCAGTGGATGTTCTATGTGAAGAAACTCCCTCAGTGTCTATCACCACAAGAGAAGGAACAAGTAGAAGACGAATTCTGTCATTTCCAAGCAGACCGTTTCTCTGAAGAAATTCTTCAACCTGATGTGAGAATTGACCAGGTGTGGCATTCCATCTCCAAGCTGACATCGCCTGCAACTGGCAAGCCCAAGTACACATCCTTGTACAAAATTGCGAGGTTACTACTTGTGATGTACCACAGCAATGCGGACTGTGAATGCATATTCAGCCTCGTCAATAAGAACAAAACAGAGTTTCGTGCTTGCTTGTCAACTCGTATGCTAGGCAACCTCATGACCAGGCGGATGGAGTTACTTGCTTCAGACACACCCTGCTACATGATGAACCATTCTAGTCAGCTACTGAAGAAGGCCAAAAGTTGTACATCAGCTGGATTGGTTGGTTCCAGTAGCCAGTAATTCTGAATCTTTCTACCTTTGCAAAATAGGGCTCCTAACTGAGGTGGGTAGTGAAACATGTAGTTTTGTGAGTGTTCACATTTTGATATTTCAAAAATTGTTTATGTGTGGGGCGAAAAGGTTGAAGGAAAAGGCCCATTTGCACCATTAAAATGGAGAGAAAAAAAAATAGACCCTAAAGTCCTGTGTACCCCCCCCCCCCCCCCCCCCCAATCTACGGGCTACTACCCCAATCCTTCGGTGGTTCGTGACCTTGTAGTCCATCCAGAAAAATTTACTCCTAATTTCTCTTGTCTCAGGTTGGCAGGTATGCACTAAAGGAACCTGTCTGCAAAGACCACCTACCTATAAAGACCACTTTTCTTGTCTCCCTTGGGTGGTCATTATAGACAGGTTTCACTGTACTAAGTAAAGAAGCTACTTACTTAGAGAAGTGACTTGCAGGGCCAAGAAGAGAGAGGATGAAGGATGAACAAAGGTGGCTTGCTGGTGGAAGAATATGAGGTGGAGCAGCAAGGATCTGAAAACATGGAGAACGTAAAACACTTAATAATTATCATTCTAGATAGTACTCCGTTCAGGATACAGAAAAACAGGACGATTCTTCAAGTTTACTCAAAGATATGTCAAATAGGTCTTTGGTGAAGGGGACTAATCCAACACTTGATTTGTCAAAAGGTTTAATCTCTGAACTTTTAATACCCGAACCAGGATTTAGGGTTAAACCCTGGGTTGCATCTTTAAGGGATGCCAGTTAGAATTGATCAGAGGGCCTGAAAATCACCTAGAATGAGCTATTTTGTACACAAAAAAAGCCTAAACTATGGTTGGAAAATAATTCCCCAAGGCCTGAATTCTGAAAATGGGCATCCCTGATCTTTTATTTAGTGATGAGTATTGTTTATACCCAGTGTTATCAGAACTTATAGATCTTGCTTCATAAGTAATTTTGGATTCCGATATGATTCGCACAGAGTACCAGGATGGAAGCTAGCAACTGCAGGAATGCAACTCATTAGTGTGACTGGCTCCCCTTAAAAGTTCTATGAAAGTTTGAATGTACTTTACCTCAGCTGCTGAAGCCTTGCTAGAGGTCAGACTTTGTGCTTGACTCCCTCCATCTGTCCACACTGGTCTTGAAGCCCCGCCCAGTAGCTGAGCAAAAGGTGTGAGTGGTATGCTCCCTTGTAGATCAGCCTGGTAGGAAAATAAATCAGATCAAATGATAATAATATATAATGATATTGATGATGATAAGAACAATAATGATGACAATATTAATAACAATAATGATAATAATAATAATTTTACATTAGCACCTTCAATGATATAGAATTTGCACTGAATTTTAAGATGAGACAATTTTTGAATGCATCTCCACTCTCACTTTCAATCTTCTTTCCCTTTACCACATCTTCTTGAAATCCTTCATTTTAATTCTCTCTCTGCTTTATTTGCTAACATGGAAATATATCAATCTCTATATGTCCATCTCTGTCTAGTCTCTCTCTTTCTCTCTCCCACATAGAATTCCATTCATCAGTCTGCCTTTTCTTCTGACTGTCTTACTCTGTCAATAACAAGTCTATTAATCTTTGTCCCTCTGTCTCTCTCAAATCAACTGCTTTCTCTAACATTGTACACTTTCTATTTCCCTCTCTATGTATGGTATCTGCATCTCCTAACTCTGTCTTCCAGTCTCTTTCCAAAAGTAGTTTTGCAAACATGTATCCTCCTCTTTTTTATACCTTGAATCCAGGAAAATATATGTCATACTTTTAATTTATCATTCAAGTTGTGTCATTGTTGGTCAAACAGTTTTTGAGCATCAAGTAACGCCTGGCTGGAATGCTCCCCAGGGAGTGGATAATATTGTGCACACAGTGTGCGCTGAATCCAATGACTGGGGTAATACATCTGTAAAAGCGCTTAGAGACATTGTATTAGGCGCTATATGAAAGCGGAATATATTGTTACAAAATTCTAAAGCTTACTGCATCATATATGTTTGTCCTCTCCTCTTTTTTGGCCTGTCCTTTGCTTATCAACGTCAGCAACTCCTGTGACTTGGTCATGAAGTACAGCTCAGAATCCTGCTGCCATGGCAACGCATCATTCGGCAGCCCCTCCTTGTCGTTCCCGTCTCCCGGGCTCTGTCTTGGAGTGAAGATGGCCGAGAGGACTTCAGAAGAGGAGGTGGAGGGTTGGTAGAACACTGGGCGTGGCTCGCACCCATCGAATACAAACACTGTCAAGAGAGCGACATATAGCAATAGATTACCATTGATTACCATGATAGCATTTGTATGTTCTGTTTTTCATGATTAAATATCTACGCATGAATTATTAACTAAAATCACGAAACCAAACTTTTACACATAATATTAAAGGCATTGTTTAATAATGTTAAATCTGAGATGCATGGCCCTACGTGTTATCAGTTTCTGTGATATGGTGTAATATTGAAGCCCTAACTGCGCTTCAAATGATCATGAAGTGCCTCAAAAAAGTAAAAATCTTTGATTGACCACTTTTACCATACTCATTTTTCCACAATAGACTGTAGTGTTATAAAAATCGTTAGGAAAACAAAAAATTAAATTTTGATTTCCAATCATAAATATCTTGATAATTAGACAGGCGATCTGCTTGTAAAAGTTATAGGATTCCTGACTGACCTAAAGGTTTATAATTATGATCGCAGCATGAGCTAAATCCAGTATTAAGTTTCAGAATTTGAGGCAATGTTACAGAGTCACTTTAAGAGTTACATTTGATCCAAATCAAGTGCAAGTTGTCCAATTGATGGCAAGTTTACAGTCTTGTTTCTCTTATGTACATACATGTAGTTGCGACTGATATCAATTTCTATTAGACGGGGCATTAATTCCAAAAATTTCAAAACCCATTGTTGCAGAGGACAATGGTGGGTAAAGACCAACACTATAGTATGATTGTAATGGAATTACATGGAAGTAAGTGTCAGTCTCATTGTGGTAGAGTGTGTCTAGCATTCATTAATTAATTCAACATTTAATGCACTAAGTGTGAACACAAATTTTGTATCTACTCACAACTGCACAATAAATTTATACATGCTTGCATCAATGCATGCGTACAAACATACACACATCAATATTTGACGCAGGTAACTATATACTACGAAGGCTGACATAATATAATTAGATGGCCAAATCTGTGATTGTAAATATCTGTGTGAATACTTACAATTGTTTTTGTTGTCAAAGATGGCAAAGTGTTGAGAATAGGGATCACCAATAAGTATGTTGACAGGCATCGATACACTCCAAGAGACTGAGAGATAGAGGAAGAGAGAGAAAGAGAGAGAGTTGAGAAAGTGAGAAATGGAGAGAGACAAAAAAATTAGCGAGGTAAACCAAGGAGAGGGGAGCAGAGAGAAAAAGAGAGCAAGAAGAACAAAATCTATTTAAAAAAACATACATTTGTTATTGTCTGCACAGATAGTAAATATGGTGTGTAACAAAAAGGATTATTATAACATTATAACAATGCCTCCTTAAATCACAGAACTGAACTTATCAACAGAAATATATGCAGCACTGATAAAGAGTACTAGAAAATTGGTCTGCACAGACAGGTCAAGGATCATCTGGCAGAACTAATCAGTACCACGTGCGATGATGTGCCAATACCCAAACAGTAATGAAGATGGTATGTTTTATTAAAATACTGTACCTGGCAGCCTCTAGGCTGAATTACAATCAGTTTACAAGATAAAATAATTCAACTTGTACATCAATGTTGCAACAATTATCGTTCAATGTGAGAACATTCCAAAATAAAACATAGCAATTAAAGTAATTAAGTATTTGTAAAACACAGTCAAATTATGTTGACATACCGTATTTGCCGGCGTAAAGGCCGCAGTATTTTTGGAAGAGAAAATATCAAAAAGTCGGGGTGCGGCGTATACGCCGAAACAGTAAAAATCGCAAGTCAAAACAGCACGTCCATTATTTGTAGGCAACTTCATACAAAAAATATATTAACAAAATTGACTTGAAAACACATCAGACAAGATCTAGTCTGAACCATGTCAGCAGCAAATTTGAAGAAGTTATCTTTTTAATCGTTGTGCAACCAAAGAAATAAGAAGAAAACTGACCAGAAACTCTAAAAATCCTACTAAAAATCCTACTTGTAAAAATGTCCTTGTCTTAGACAGCGCATGGCCCGGTAACCAAAATCATACCTCGCTCACACACTCTGTGGTGGGGAGCTACCGGGCTGGGAGTTGCAACAAATCCAACGCAGCTTCGGAGATTCGCGCAATCGTCGGTGTTCTTAACTTTTCAGTAAGATAATTCTGAATTATAATTGAGACTATCTAATTAATTAAAGCGACAAACTAACCTCGTTTGGCGATACGATAGGGGTAAGACCGGATAACATTATGGCCACAGCTTGGTTATGGCAGGCCATTCATGTTTCTGTATGCATGCGAAGCGCCATCTAGTGTCCAATGAATGTGCTAATCTGCCTAAAAATCTATGAAGATTTGCTAAATTACGATCATTTTTTAGGTAAACTTCCTGTAAATTTATAAAATGATTGATAATTTTGGTATTAGTTTGTAGGAAAAATATGATTAAAAATTATGATTATTTTCTTTGGTCCGTTTTTTTTTTTTTTCCTTTTTTTTTTTTTTTTCTCTCTACGAAATGTCAAAGTTGGGGGTGGGGCCTATGCAGCGGTGCGGCCTTTACGCCGGCAAATACGGTATTGCACTGAGAGATGTAGGGAAAAAAGGGTGAGAGTACAGTGAAAGTGGGAGAAAGGGAGAGTTAGAGAAGAGGGAATCGAGAGGAGGATATATGAACAAACAATCAAATCCAACATAAGAAGACATGTTATGATTGGATTATAAGACCTACCTCTACATGTGAGTAGATTCCATACAGTGATGGATGATGAAGTACTGGATACTAAGAGATGGGCCGATGAACCATGACCAAAACATAGAGATCTGAAATAAGACCAATGTAATACAAGTTATTTCATTTCAATTTTATTCCAACATCCACTGTCATTTCAATTCAATTCTCATTTAGTTTCATTTCTATTTCATTCTATTTCCATTTCCATTTCATTTTCAATTTTCAATTTTCATTTTCCATTTCCATTTCCATTTCCATTGCCATTTCCATTTCCATTTCCATTTCCATTTTCATTTTCATATTTTCATTTTCAATTTCAATTCACTTCAAGTACTAGATACAACAGATGAGGAAAAAAAACATGACCAAAACATAGAGATCTAGAAAAGATCAATGTGATACATGTTTTTAAATACGTCAATCTATTCATTGTATTCAATTTTGTTTAATTTTATTTCCATTGCAAATGTTATTCTCATTTGATTTGATTACAATCCGATTCACTCCATTCCATTTGACTTTCTTGCCATTTCATTCCATTTCAAAACATCTAAATCCAAACCAATAGGATACAAGTAATTCCAATCTATTCACTCCATTTCATTTCATTTGAAGAATAGTAACATTTTCCTACAGACAAATACGCAACAATTTCCCCATTTCCTATGTACCAAACAATCCTTCTCTTCAGAACTCACTGGATTTCTGTACTAACTGCTGCATGGGTAAGGATCTTTCTAAGTTCGTTGACCTCTGGGTTCCAAAGTGTAATGACCTCGCTGAAGCCTACCCCCAGCAGAGATCCATCGGAGGAGAAGGCCGCAGCCCTTGGCTCTGTGTTCTTGTAGAAGCCCACCGATTCACAGTTCCAACAATGTTTCGCTTCTGTGCAATTGATGAAAGTAAAAAACTTGTTTTCATGCAAATATTATATAACCCGATGTTTAGAGAGTGTGATGAACAAACAAATTTGTTTTTTATTATTGTCTGTTCAGCGCAAGAAAGGGCCTTGACTCTTGGTTAAAGTAAACATGTATGACAGTGTTAATTAAGGCCCTATTGGCTCCAAACGGACAAAACATTTATTACAAAGAATTAAATTCCTCACCCGTGATTAACCATTCCCCCAAAATAACACAGGAATAAGAATTCCTTACAGACATCTACACTGTAGAAAGAAGCGCATAGACATAAGGGCAGACTCTAAGAAATTTTGGACGACTAGGAAATTCACAATTCTTCTGCATTTTTTTCTCTTTCTGTAGGCATTTTACTTAAAGCGCGTTTACCCATCAAGATTTTAATTAACACCGTCTGCACAATTAGCATGACAAGTCTAACGATGATTATGATCATGATTACCATATTCGTCATTATGCTCATCATTACCAACACCCCAACTACCATCACCATACATCATCATTGCCACTATCACCACCAACACCAAAGCTTGCATCACCACCACAACAACCATTACCATACATCATCATTGCCACTATCACCGCCAACATCAAAACTTGCATCACCACCACAACAACCAGCATAACAGCCATTTAATGTCACTACTGCCACCACCACAGCCACAACAAAAACGGAAGAGAAGTGAAATTTTTTGCGTGAAACTTACTCTCAACATCTGTATCATCGACAAGCACCCAGAGTTTAAACTTCCCATCAGCGCTGGTCGTCACCACCATGGCATCGTCATTCTTCCTCTCTTTGCTTGACGGTCGGAAACTCAGGGCATTTATCGCTTCTTGGTGGGGCATCTCAACAGTTGTGTTCAAAGTAAAGCTGCAATGATACAAATAAAAGCAGGTTGATAAAGTGTCGATCAGGGTCGTCTAGTGGTCTTCATTACATTCCCTACAATTTATATTACAGTAAACATTTGTTTAATTGGGACCATGCAAATTGCCTTTTGGGGGGGGGGGAGGGATTTACAAAAGAACGATGAAAATATCCTGGAAATGAATGAAAACCAACAAAGAGATATTGCACATGGCAGGACATAAACAAATTGCACTAGTAGGATTAGTTAAGGAGAGAAATACTTTGGTCAATGGTCATGTTAAAAGGCACCAAAGCCTCTTAAAGGATGTTTTGGAAGGAAGAGTGGAAGGAAGTAGACCGAGAGGGAGACCCAGAATCAACTTGGAAGAGAATGTCAAGAACTGGAGCGGACTAAAACTGCAAGAGTGCACCAGAATGGCAGAAGATAGAGTGAAATGGAGAGATGTTGCAATCAACCTCCGAACTGGGAGAAGATACTTAGATAGATAGAAATTGCATTGTTATATCAGGGTAAGATCACAAAGGAATATAAAGAGCTGGGACCGGCAATCAGAGCTCTTTATAAACAAGTTTTCACACTAATCAGAGGCCTTGATGATCAGTGATAATGCACTGAACTGAATTATATACCTCACTTAAGAAATCCAGCCATCTGATTGGTCGAAATTGCATTCATAAACTTCAACTATTTCTGTAAAATTCCCAGTAACCATGGTTAAAATAGTTCTAAAATCCCAGTAACCATGGTTATTGGGAAAATAGTTCAGTCTCCATGGTTACTCCATAGGTTTACATGTTAAAAAATGGTCTGAGCGATCGAGGATACCATACGTGTGCGAAGAATTGGTCGCTATATTTTACCAATTTTGTAATACAACTAGCAGCGAATCCGGGCTAACTCGCCCCACAGGACATCTCGCCCCAGCATCAAAGACTGGGTCGAGATGTCCCGACACGATTCATCGATCGAGAGATACCAATGTGTATATGTTTGTGCTCATTGTACATTTTAGACGATATGGCTGATATTTGTTCACATTCTTTCGTCCTGGCCGTTAATTAGCAGACTACTGGTATCTCTCGATCGATAAATCATGTCGGGATATCTCGCTGGGGCGAGATGTCCCGTGGGGCGAGTTAGCCCGACTCCCTAGTGAATGCAGACGACCGCCTGTACTAGGCCAAAATTGCTGAATTAGAAACGCTCCCAAGATTTTGACTTCTGGATGAGGATCAAATGCGAGACATGCTGACAGCAAGAACACCAAAAAGGGTACGTGAAATCTTCCATAATTTTTTCAGTAGCCCTAGATCTAGATCTAGATTCTAGTACGCGACAACCAGATGCTGGTGATTGTAGTGATTTGTACGTCACGGACAGATGTAGATCCTTCCCGTAGAGATTACACACATCCCTATGCATTTCCATTGGCCATTGCGCATTCGATCATGCTAGATTGGTCGATGTTTTAATTACCAGAGATTCAAACTAATATTGCTCGTGATCCTGAAGGTGATACTCAATAAGTGAGGTGTCACATGAAAGCGCAGGTTCTTCTCCATATTCCCCACAGGGCCGGCCCACCCCCAAAATTGTAAAAATATCTTGCTTAGACTAGTAAAATCTAGATCTAGATCTAGTCTACTCTCAAAGAAACAATCATAAAAAACAACCGTGCAGATAAACTAGAAAAAGGCCAAGGTGGTGTCATAATTTTTTCGGCATATAAAAGTATTAATGACTGCTTTAATATTTGAGAAATAGTTGTTTTTATACGCTCTCGGGAAGGTTACAATTGGGCTATTGCCCTCGGCACGCCTCGGGCAATAGCACAATTCTAACCTTCCCTTGAGTGAATAAAAACAACTATTTTTTTCAAAGCAGTCATTAATACTATACTATATAATGTTATGATGAGACTTTCATTCAATATATCAAAATTGTAAAGAACCACTATCCACCCAACTTTCAAAACTTTGTATTACCTATAACAAAGATTTGTGCATTAAATTGATCACATTTTGAAAATGGCCTATTACCAAAAAACATGAATGGAAAATCTTTACTTCTGATGTCTGGAACAGACAGGGAACTGAAAGGGATCGGGTAACTTTGTCTCAGATTCTGAAACAAAATCCTGGAGTTAGCTCATGCTGCAATGATAATTATAAGCCTTTAGGTCAGTCAGGAACCCCATGAATTTTACAAGCCGATCGCCTGTCTGATTATCAAGATTTTTTTATGATTGGAAATCGAAATTTTGCGTTTTCCTAATGATTTTCATAACACTACAGTCTACTGGCGAAAATGAGTATGGCAAAACCTGTCACTCAAAGATTTTTACTTTTTTGATGCACTTCATGATCATTTTCAAGCGCAATTTTTGTAGGGCTTCAATATTACACCATATCACAGACACTGATAACACATAGGGCCGTGTATCTCATATTTGACATTGTTAAACAAGCATGCAAGCCATCCAACCTCCAAGAATTTTCCATGAGATCTAACCAGAGTACTGTAAAACCTGCCCTTACCTCTGTTTCTTGGCATCAAACTCCCAGAACTTGAGCCTCATCTCCACCGACGTCTCCCCGTCGTCTCTCCTCTCCGCAGTGACCATCCACTCACCTTTCAGGTCAAAGGTCATATGAGTGACCTCGGTGTGGGCCAGGGGTTTGTGAAGGTTCTCAGGAGAGATGTAGTTCTCTCCGGTGATGTCCATCTATGGAATAAGAGGATAAAAATATGACACTGTTAATTGCATATTATCACTCATAAGTGGACTTCACATAAAAAATAAGATGATGGACATGCATGCACATATGAAATAATGTCCACAATGGACTTTGATAATTCTTTTCCAAATATCTCAGAGAATTCAGTAACAAAGTGTACATTATTTTTCTAGTGATAAAGCAATACTTAAAGTGACTCGGTAACATTGTTGAAGGTTGATGAAAACATATAATTTGTGTATGAAATGTTTCATATTATATTCCTTCTACTGTACTAAACCTATTTATAAATATATGGTTTTCTTTGAAGGTGTCACTGTGCGACACGCTCTAACAGTAAATTCTCCCAACCATTTTGGAATTTTCCCAACCGTTTTTCCATGAAAAGACATAAGACAGGCTTTAAATTTTTAAAATCTTTCAACACTTAAATGTCTGGAATGGTATATAGAGCCAATTCATTGCTTTGTGACGATTTACATTCACCTAAAATGTAATCAAATTGTAATGATATAGTTGGGAGAATTAATTAATCGATCAGTTTCCCTAATTTTGATCATTAATAATAGTCTGTTTTCACTAAAACTTTCATATTATCTTTTAATGAACATCTAGCATTGAAGCCACTACCTTAGCATCATTTTTTCTCATCTGAGCAATGTTACAAAGTCCCTTTAAGTTGTCATCACATTTAGAGATGTTGACAACTCATAGTTGGGTCATTCATATTAAGTACATTTTCATTATTTGCATGCTTTTATCAATGTAAATTGTTCTCAATGCAGAAAAGATAATAAAACCTTCAATCAATCAACATAAATTGTGGGTATGCTGTTATCCACTTGTATAATGCATACACACATGGTTTGTTTCTGGACAGACTTGGTAGAGCAACAAACTGAACAATCTTGCAAGTATCTTTCAAAATGGAATGTTGTTAATGACAAATGCTCTATAAAAGTACTGCTACTTGAAGCATGCATTTCACAGAATCTAATGGCAAATGCAACAGCTTAAAGGTAACAAAGTTTTGGTATGGGGTCATGAATTTAGTTCAAACGGACATATTGGAAACATATGCGATCCGAAAAACTTTGTATTACCTTTAACTTATGTTTAATACTGTTAGGACACAAATCCCCAATCCTACAATTATGTTCCTTGAATTAAAGCCCATCTGCACTAGTTTGGCCAGGGGGGATTAGATCACCCAGCATGGTCACTGACAGGTGGTTATCTCAACAACTCGGCTCTCAATTAAAAAAAAAGAGGATCATGGGGACCAACAGGCACCGCTAAGGCATTTTTTTCTACATAGAGGGGGCAAGTTAGCTACAAGTAGTGCAGTGGGGCTCTAACTTACGTTGTAGAGAAGCTTGTCCTTCCCCAGCTGATAGAACTGAAGATGACCCAGTTTGCCATTGAGTACTAGAGCATCTGTGCGAGGGTCAACAGCTAGACCGGTTGGAACCGGATTTGACTGCTTCTGGTGGAAACTGCTATGATCAAGACCTTGGATAGTATGCATCACTTTGGTGGTGAGTAGCAAGATAGCTAAAGAGAACAGATGATAATGATGGTGAACAGGAGAGCAGAGAAAATGATTGGGCTAACAAAACATGTATGATATTCCCCAATAAAAAATTAGATTAATTCATTTTGTATATGGCCGACTTAGCATATACAAGGTAGCGTACTCCTTTTAGTGCCATTGTCAGCTTTTAACTAAATTTAATCCATTGGGTTGTCATGTATCATACAGGCAAAAGAAAAAGAAGACAAATATCTAAAAGCAGTATGCCCAGTTAACATTTTTTCGCTATACTGCCCAACATTCAGTAGCCAATTTCATGCCTGCAGTTTTGACCAATCGGAAGCCTACAATATTCATATGCAGTATATAATATGAACTATTAAGTGCACAAAAACATATGAACAACCAGTCTATCAAATTTAAAAACATATCTTGACATTTTTATAAATGTAATGCTTCCTAGGAGAAATTTCAATTATTTAAACATATTAGTGGCTTACACCCAGTAAATTACATCCCGCAGGTTCCAAGATTTTTTCTGACTTGTTTTTCAGTACAGATCGATCAATCGATCTTATTTACTGGGTGTAAGCCACAAATATGTTTAAATAACATCTTGACATGTTAAACAAATTCAGAAACATCTTCTATCCCTACACTACAATAAACATGATATGCCCCAAATTATGCATGTATTGTACTTACAATTATTTCTCAAGGAGAGCGCCCTCAGTTGTCCATTGGGTGCGCATGCGATGTGAGTGATGGCGTTGCCAAGGCGTGGCATGAAATCTTTATGCTTGGAGTTGTACTGCCATTGGACCAGGGTGCATTCATGGCCACCGCTGAATAGATATGTCCCTGTTAAGGCAAGAGAAACAAAGTGTATGATATTAAAAACCTTTCCTGAACATAGCTTTAACCCTAAAAGGGTCTGTAGATGGAATCACACCACCCACATGAGAATTCATGATGAAATATTCATTAATCAATTTTTTCATGCAGCAAGTTTTGTTGACTTTATAATGCATGCCTACATTATAATCCAAGAAGGCGGCCCGCATGTTTTGCCTCTTCTCTTTATAGACCAATATTATTAATTTCAAAGTCATGAAAAGGCACTAAATATCAACAAACATGGTCTACAACAACTACAAATGACAAAATAATCCCAGCCAAGAATTTTTTTTTGAGCATTTGATAGCCAAAAACTTGAAAATTTTCGTCATTAAAAAAAAAAAAAAAAAAAAAAAAAAATCAGCCGATTTTTTTTTGGTCGATCTTCCGATCCAATACCGATCATAGGTGCGAGGGTGTCGCTCCGATCTTCCGATCCGATCAGAGCCCCAACTTACATAGATTTCACTCATGCTGCAATCACAATTATAAACCTTTACTTAGGTCAGCCAGGAATCCCATGACTTTTACAAGCCGATCACCTGTCTGATTATTTATGATTGGAAATCGAAATTTCAAAACCGTTTTCCTAACGGTTTTTATAACACTTCAGTCTATTGGGGGAAATGAGTATGGTAAAACCGGTCACTCAAAGATTTGAACTTTTTTGAGGCACTTCATGATCATTTTGAAGTTCAATTTTTTTTTGGCTTCAATATTACACCATATCACAGACACTGATAACACGTAGGGCCATGCATCTCAGATTTAACATTGTTAAACGATCCCTTTAAGGATCATATTTACCTTCCGGGGAAAAGGAGACGTCTTGGACAGGGAGCGCATGCCAGTGATTGATACTCTTGGTGATGGATTCTTGCTGGAATATGTTCCATACAATCGATACTTGACCCTTGACATCTCCCACGGCAATGCAGTTGTCATGGGGATGGCAGGCCAGGCAGGTCGGCTTCACCTTCATTTCAGTCCTGAATAAAAAGAAAAATAATGTACTTTATCAGATATTTGTAGCATGAAAAAAAAAATACCCACCATTTTGTTAGTTGTGATAGCTCCATCTATAGAACAGGTTAAACAGGTATTCAACTGGACTATTTAGAAGCTAGTTTTTACTCAGCCATGAGAGGCCTAATTGACAAGAAGTTTTTGCAATGGACATCAACACATGTCGAGAGGACTACTGAGTAATTTTTCATTGTTGACTAAGTTTACAGTTACAGTGATTCTACTAAAAGACGAGTAAAATTGGGGTGGTAATTGTCCTCTTTTCAAGAGCAAAAACAGGGAGTAAAACTGCAAGTTATAAATCAGAAGTATGTAAGTATAGACTAGAAGATCTATGATCTGCAAAAAGAAGTTGGGGGTGACCCCTGCAGTGCTGTGAGTTAATATAGATAAGTCAACAAATATACATGTATAAATACATACCTTTTTGTTCCTAATTAAAACAAACACAGAAGCATTTACAATGTTACATACATTGTGAAGGTTGCCCCGACAAGAAATATTCAAAACCAAATTGAAAAGATGAAATGAAGATTTAAAACCAGAATTATAATCTTTAAAAGGCTATTTCCTGGTTAATGTTATAACATAGTGGCATAGAGGAGGTCCAATGGCTCAGTGGCAGAGTAGTCATCTCTTAACTGAAAGGTCCTTGGTTCTAAACCAAGTTGAAGCACTGGTGCCCTTTAGGGCATAAATCCCCATCAAGAAGTCTGTTGGAGAGTACTAAAATCCCTCTGTAGGTTACACATGCTTTCCTGGCAGTCAGGATCAGTATACAAACCATCAAACAAACTATCAACGGAAGGGGGTCAAATCAAGCTGTAACTCACCTTTGAATAGTTTTATCATCAAAGTTGTAAACCTTCAGGTTGTTCCCCATAACGCAGGCCATGTATTGGCCGTTGGCACCGAAGCTGATGCAACGATCTCCCCCAGACCCCACCACGATCACAAACTCGGGAGTCAGCGGCGTCTTGTTGGAAGTGCCTGATGGGATAGATGCCATGCAGAGCCGGAGGGGTTTCTTGTGCAGGATCTGGCCATTGTCTGCCAAGAAACAGAAAGGTTCATTGAGCGTTGCATAGAGAAATACAGATCAGCTGCAGATTTCAATTCATTAAGTACTCTGACATGTGCTTCAGCGACAGCTGCTACAAGTTTTATTTTTTCAAGGTATAGGTTTGGGGTCGCAATTAATATTTTGGTCAGGATTTCAGTTATGATGTGTGTGTATCGGGGTTTTACAGAATGCAGACGTGTATCAATCAGATATGATCATTTACGTCTGGGGTCCAAGCTTTAAACGTCACCATCCGAAAGACGTGACTCAGTTTCGAACCTGCGTCCTCGGCTGAATCAGTTTGTAACTTCCATTGTTAGCTGGATTACAGGCGCACGCCACAATGCCTAGTTATGGTCAGGGTTATTTGCATTTACTGGTCAGGGTGGACATAAGGAAAGCGGTAAGAGTAGGATATTGACTGTGGGCCAATTTTTGCTTAGACATGTGTCGCACAACTTATATTTATTGATCCATGTTAAAACCAAAAGAGGGCTTGGATGGTTAATGGTGCCCTGTGTCCAGACAAAAATGCATTTCTAACTGTTTGCTTGCATGAGTGAAGGGAAGGAGAGACTTATTTCAGCTATACATCAGAGATGCTAACCTTCTTCAACAAAAAAAAGTATTCTTAAGAGCAAAAAACAGTATTTTTGAAAAAATCTCTCAACTTAACATATTGCCCAATTGAGCAGCTTAAAAAACCTGGCAGTATCCCGTTTACGTACCCGGATCGGAGCGCGACGTGCATACATTACACATGGATTGTTCGCAATGTGCGCAGTTTGGGGCCCGTATCACCATCCTGTGTGCATTGATTGAAGATGTAGGTGCAATCATATATCAGCTGGTGGTAAAAGGGCCTTGTGAACCCACATCACACAGCTCCCAGCACTCTTTTCAAACATGAAAAACCTCCCCCTACCTCCCCCTCCCCCTACACAGAGGTGTAATCATATATCAGCTGGTGGTAAGAGGGTGTTGTGAACCCACGTCACACAGCTCTCTGCACCCTTCTCAAACATGACAATCCCCCCTCCCCCCTACACACAGCTCTAAGCGCTCTTCTAAAACATGACAACCTCCCCCTGCCTCCCCCCCCCTACAAAGAGGTGTAATTATATATCAGCTGGTGGTAAAAGGGTGTTGTGAACCCACATCACACAGCTCTCTCCAGTCTTCTCAACCATGACGACCACCCCCCCCTACAAACAGGTGTTACCTTATATCAGCTGGTGGTAAAAGGGTGTTGTGAACCCACATCACACAGCTCTCTCCACTCTTCTAAACCATGATGACCACCCCCCCCCCCCTACACACAGGTGTTATCTTATATTAGCTTGTGGTAAAAGGGTGTTGTGAACCCACATCACACAGCTCTCTCCACTCTTCTCAAATATGACAACCTCCCCCTGCATCCCCCTCCCCCCTACACAGAGGTGTAATTATATATCAGCTGGTGGTAAAAGGGTGTTGTGAACCCACATCACACAGCTCTTTCCACTGTTCTCAACCATGACGACCATCCCCCCCCCCCCTACACACAAGTGTTATCTTATATCAGCTGGTGGTAAAACAGTGTTGTGAACCCACATCATACAGCTCTCTCCACTCTTCTCAACCATGATGACAACCTCCCCCCCCTCCCTACACACAGGTTTTATCTTATGTTAGCTTGTGGTAAAAGGGTGTTGTGAACCCACATCACACAGCTCTAAGCACTCTTCTCAAACATGACAACCTCCCCCTGCCTCCCCCCCCCCCTACACCGAGGTGTAATTATATATCAGCTGGTGGTAAAAGGGTGTTGTGAACCCACATCACACAGCTCTCTCCACTCTTCTCAAATATGACAACCTCCCCCTGCATCCCCTCCCCCCTACACAGAGGTGTAATTATATATCAGCTGGTGATAAAAGGGTGTACGTGCACCCACATCACACAGCTCTCTACTCAAACATGATGAACCTCCCCCCTACACACAGGTGTAATCATATATCGTCTGGTGGTAAAAGGGTGTTTTGAACCCACATCACACAGCTCCCAGAACTCTTTTCAAACATGACAACCTCCCCCTGCATCCCCCTCCCCCCTACACAGAGGTGTAATTATATATCAGCTGGTGGTAAAAGGGTATTGTGAACCCACATCACACAGCTCCCAGCACTCTTTTCAAACATGACAACCTCCCCCTCCCCCCTACACAGAGGTGTAATCATATATCAGCTGGTGGTAAAAGGGTGTTATGAACCCACATCACACAGCTCTCTGCACTCTTCTCAAACATGACAATCCCCCTCCCCCTACACAGAGGTGTAATCATATATCAGCTGGTGGTAAAAGGGTGTACGTGCACCCACATCACACAGCTCTCTTATCAAACATGATGAACCTCCCCCCTACACACAGGTGTAATCATATATCGGCTGGTGGTAAAAGGTTGTTGTGAACCCACATCACACAGCTACTAGAACTCTTTTCAAACATGACAACCTTCCCTTGACTCCCCCTCCCCCTACACAGAGGTGTAATCATATATAAGCTGGTGGTAAAAGGGTGTTTTGAAGCCACATCACACAGCTTTCTGCACTTTTCTCAAACATGACAACCTCCCCCTGTCTCCCCCCTCTACACAGAGGTGTAATTATATATCAGCTGGTGTTAAAAGGGTGTTGTGCACCCACATCACACAGCTCTCTGCACTCTTCTCAAACATGATAACCTCCACCTGCCTCCCCCTCCCCCCTACACAGAGGTGTAATAATTTATATGCTGGTGGTAAGAGGGTGTTGTGAACCCACATCACACAGCTCTCTGCACTCTCCTCAAACATGACAATCTCCCCTCCCCCTACACACAGGTGTAATCATATATCAGCTGGAGATAAAAGGGTGTACGTGCACCCACATCACACAGCTCTCTTCTCAAACATGATGAACCTCCCCCCTACACACAGGTGTAATCATATATCGGCTGGTGGTAAAAGGTTGTTGTGAACCCACATCACACAGCTCCCAGCACTCTTCTCAAACATGACAACCTCCCCCTGCCTCCCCCCTACACCGAGGTGTAATTATATATCAGCTTGTGGTAAAAGGGTGTTGTGAACCCACATCACACAGCTCTCTCCACTCTTCTCAAATATGACAACCTCCCCCTGCATCCCCCTCCCCCCTACACAGAGGTGTAATTATATATCAGCAGGTGATAAAAGGGTGTACGTGCACCCACATCACACAGCTCTCTGCACTCTTCTTAAGCATGACAACCTCCACCTGCCTCCCCCTCCCCCCTACACAGAGGTGTAATCATATATCAGCTGGTGGTAAAAGGGTGTACGTGCACCCACATCACACAGCTCTCTTATCAAACATGATGAACCTCCCCCCTACACACAGGTGTAATCATATATCGGCTGGTGGTAAAAGGTTGTTGTAAACCCACATTACACAGCTCCTAGAACTCTTTTCAAACATGACAACCTTCCCTTGACTCCCCCTCCCCCTACACAGAGGTGTAATCATATATAAGCTGGTGGTAAAAGGGTGTTTTGAAGCCACATCACACAGCTTTCTGCACTTTTCTCAAACATGACAACCTCCCCCTTTCACCCATCTCTACACAGAGGTGTAATTATATATCAGCTGGTGTTAAAAGGGTGTTGTGCACCCACATCACACAGCTCTCTGCACTCTCCTCAAACATGACAACCTCCACCTGCCTCCCCCTCCCCCCTACACAGAGGTGTAATCATATATCAGCTGGTGGTAAAAGGGTGTACGTGCACCCACATCACACAGCTCTCTTATCAAACATGATGAACCTCCCCCCTACACACAGGTGTAATCATATATCGGCTGGTGGTAAAAGGTTGTTGTGAACCCACATCACACAGCTCCTAGAACTCTTTTCAAACATGACAACCTTCCCTTGACTCCCCCTCCCCCTACACAGAGGTGTAATCATATATAAGCTGGTGGTAAAAGGGTGTTTTGAAGCCACATCACACAGCTTTCTGCACTTTTCTCAAACATGACAACCTCCCCCTGTCTCCCCCCTCTACACAGAGGTGTAATTATATATCAGCTGGTGGTAAAAGGGTGTTGTGAACCGACATCACACAGCTCTCTGCACTCTTCTCAAGCATGACAACCTCCACCTGCCTCCCCCTCCTCCCTACACAGAGGTGTAATCATATATCAGCTGGTGGTAAAAGGGTGTTGTGAACCCACATCACACAGCTCTCTCCACTATTTTCAACCATGACGACTACCCCCCCCCCTACACACAAGTGTTATCTTATATCAGCTGGTGGTAAAAGGGTGTTGTGAACCCACATCACACAGCTCTCTCCACTCTTCTCAAATATGACAACCTCCCCCTGTCTCCCCCCTCTACATAGAGGTGTAATCATATATCAGCTGGTGGTAAAAGGGTGTTGTGAACCCACATCACACAGCTCTCTCCACTCTTCTCAAACATGATAACCTCCACCTGCCTCCCCCTCCCCCTACACAGAGGTGTAATCATTTATAAGCTGGTGGTAAGAGGGTGTTGTGAACCCACATCACACAGCTCTCTGCACTCTACTCAAACATGACAATCCCCCTCCCCCTACACAGAGGTGTAATCATATATCAGCTGGTGGTAAAAGGGTGTACGTGCACCCACATCACACAGCTCTCTTATCAAACATGATGAACATCCCCCCTACACACAGGTGTAATCATATATCGGCTGGTGGTAAAAGGTTGTTGTGAACCCACATCACACAGCTCCTAGAACTCTTTTCAAACATGACAACCTTCCCTTGACTCCCCCTCCCCCTACACAGAGGTGTAATCATATATAAGCTGGTGGTAAAAGGGTGTTTTGAAGCCACATCACACAGCTTTCTGCACTTTTCTCAAACATGACAACCTCCCCCTGTCTCCCCCCTCTACACAGAGGTGTAATTATATATCAGCTGGTGTTAAAAGGGTGTTGT